TTACCAAATAATTTATAAAAATTACCCTATTTTGAATTTCAAATCTACATAATTTACTCCTATAAAAATAGTCTTTTTCATTAATGAAATGGAAGTAACACTAGAAAAATGACAAATGAATTTAAACAAGTAATAAAAAGCACTTCTATAAAGACAACTGATGAAAAAAAAATGTTTTATTTAATAATTGGTGGGAAAACATGAGACTGTCTTGGTTCTTGAGTATTATTAGACAGTATATTAACTTTTTCACTTCACAGATAATCATGGAATAATACTTAAAAACGATAATTATCTGTTAATTTCTTTTTGTGAGTTAAAAATAAAAAGTAAGAAGCACTAGCAAAAAGCAGATGACTTTTTATTAAAATAAGAGAAAAGAATCTCTCTTTTTATAAAATAGTATTTTGTTCTGAACTGAATAATGGTCCAATTTTCTGATAAGATATTAGCATAAGAGGGTGATAATTTATCACAATTATTCCAGTGCTTTGACCAAAATTTAATTTTCTCTTGCCATTCCAAGTGTTACACATAAATAATCATTTAGATTCATTGATGCTAGCAGAAATGAGATATTCATCTACAGGATAAAAATGTAAAATTTATCTTTAAAACTGTATGAGTTATTTTTCTTATATTTAATACTTATTTATATCACAATTTTATAAATTTAATATTTGATTTATGGTCACCAAGTCAACATTGAGTTTAATATGATTAAATTTTTGTATTTTTAAATAAAGATTATCTAAATTATAACAGATTACTTTTTATAGTAATAAATTGTTTATTTTCCAATTAAAAAAATTATTTACATTATATAATTAATTAATTGATGTATCCTGAAATATTTATAATAAAATGGCAGTTTTATTAACTTTTCATCAGGAAGTTATTGTAATGGGATCGACTTTTGAAATTTCGTTATAAAATCTGCTCAATTACTCACAGTTCTAACTCTTTCCAAGAGTATGTAAATTTAAAAAATACTATTATTAAATGAAGATAGTTGTAAATCCAATTTTAGAATTTGTTGTGGTAGGAAAATATTTTTTTTTGACATGAAGTAAATTTTTAATGATATTTTCAATATCCAATAGTCGAGTTGACTTTCCTGATATCCTTTCTCTGACTAGCTGAACCTCGTGAATGAGATACCCGTCACATTGAAATGGAAATCTCTAAGAGATTATCGATGCTGTGTAGGCTCTTCTTTCAACCTCGACAATCCGGAGAGAATTCGCTCTGTCGAACATTATATTGCAGTCAAATCCCATTCATGAAATAGAGGTTTCGTTGCCGGAAATAAATTTTTTTCTTCTGATTTATATTTCGTCTTTTATTTATTTTTTTTTCTCTCATTTTTCCCAATATATATAAAAGTCGCCTTTGCTTTTATAGACTATAAGTCAAGCCTAGAGCCTTTACTTTGTTCACTGATGCACATTCGAACGGAGAATCGATTCCTCATGCCACCGTGAAGTGTAAAAATATGAAATGTCAGTGGAAATAAACAGTAAAACGCATGTTGTGATATGTCTATATACAATCATTGATAACAATAGTAAAAAGCTCAAGGCTTCGTCAAGCTTTCTCTTCCGTTTTCGCCTTTTTTTTTTCATTCACAAGTGTAGCGTGCAACGTTAACTGGCATTCGTAGCTAAATTGTTTCATGTATACAACAACCTTAAGTGAATCTCTTGAAATTTTCACAGAACCTGTTCGAAAGCTTTATCAATGTTAGACAGTCTCTTATGATCTTTCAAATATTTCTCCATGCTCCAAACACTATTCATTAACATTCTCCTCCTTCTCCTTGGTACCATGTTTTATGTTTGAGTAAAGTGACATCAAATTGCTTTTAATTAAATGTTGAATACTCCAAAATTGTGGTAGAAAAGAATAATTAGCCTGTTGTTTTTATTTTATTTTTACATATCATACTGAACAATAGGTGTTATTAAATATTATATAATTTATTTTATTTCTTTCCCTCTTTAGATAAAAAAAATTCATGCTCTTTAATTAGATAAATATATTTGTGAAAAACTTTTTAAAATATTAAGCAGACTTCCATGAAAAAAATCCCGGCGACTTAAAAACTAAATTTTTTTTTTTTTTTTTTTTTTTTTAAAAAAAAGTATTTTACTTTCTGGAAATTTTTAAACCTTAAAATTCACTACAACTTTAATAAGTGCTCTTACGATATTTTACTCAATCTCGTGACTTATAATGCTTTTTTAAAAAATAAATATTACTTCAAGAGTCTGAACTTCCTTCAAAATTATATGAAATGTTAAGAATTGACTGACATTCGTCCGAATGTTCCTTCAGTTGAAAATATTTTTTATAAATAAAAAAAAAAATCAACAACTGCTCTTTCGTATCGAAAATCATAGATTAAATCTATTCTCCAATAATTAAGAATCATTTGACTAGAAATTTCCATCTATTTGGATAGACTCATACATAGTCAAATATGCAGTCTGCTAGTCAAGCTCTAAATCATTCATTTTCATCCATAATAACACATTCCGAAATTCATCGATGTAATAAATAATGTCGATTATCTACTAAATGTTACAAATATTTGTGCAATAATAATTCTTCATTCTCTCCATCATTTGATAATTATTCTTTATAAACTCATTGATGAATTCCTAGTAATCCATGACTGTAAAATATAAAAAGCCATTTATTACTTTACCTTTTCAATTATTTTCATGAAGGCTAATTGCAAACTTAATTGCTATGCATTTCATATTAAAATGAAGTTAAAACACTGAAAACAATTCACTTAAAAGACTCTTTACTTAAAGAATTGATTAGTAAAAAATAGCCATCTTAAAGGGAAAAACTTTTTATTTTTCTTTTAACTGGTTTTTAAATTGTATGATGAAGCAGTTTACTACGAAGCTATATACGATATCGATTTCTAATTGATTCCATTATTAACTTAAAAGTAATTGATTTTATCACCACTCAAGTTAGTTTTACATTATACTAAAATTTAATACTAAATAAAATAGAAGCTAACAGCTCTAAAACTTGGAAATTAAAAGCAAGATAAATGGATGGTATTTAATTTGATGTCAAATATTAATATTATTTGAGGTGGTTGGAATTGAACTGAGTATGTTATCAATAAAATTGGTTCAACCCAGAGAAATGAGGGAGAATTTTAAAAGGTTTTAAAATATTCCGATTTTTTAATAAAACGAATTTTCTTTTTTGCTCCCAAAAAAAAAACGTATACGGTTACGAGACTTTTAATTATAGTGAAATGTCTGTAACTCTATCGACTGTAAAATCGTTTGATTTTTTATTCTAAAGACATTAGAGTAGAGAATTTCGATTTTCATGAAGATGTTCGCTTTTAAAGCTTCAATATCTTCTCATAATCGAAATGAAATTTTTTTTACATCATTAAAAATTAAAAAATTCTTTAATACTAAATTTTTTATATTATTTAACGTTAAAAAGATCATTAAAATGTTTTTACGAATTGGAATATTTTATTTTAATCGTATTAAAGTATTTAATACTCGGCAACTTGATTTTAAAATTTTTTAAAAACTGTAAAATCGCAGGAAAAGTTAACTGGAAAAGGTTTTTCCCCCAAAAATTGGTGTGATTTAATAAAAATTCATTTAATATTAATATTTAACTCATAATAATTTAATCATGGAAACCTTTTTTATTAAACTCTAAAGTCTTTTACTTATAAAAGCAAAGTTTTCAACAAGTTTAAAAACTATCGACTACTTTTAATGTGAAAGTTTCGAGCCTACAGACATTTTCTTTACAAATTGGTGTGTAGAACAAGATAAATGAAGACATCATGTTGAAACATAGAGGACATAATCTTTAGTACATGAAATTACATGCTGATCCAGCTATTCATGTAGTTTTAATCGAGTTTGGCTAATGCAAATTACTAGCAGATGTTGAAGAAGCTGTTAAATAAAATTTTATCATTCACAAATTAATGTTTAATTATTCAAACGTTAACATTGAGAAATCAATTAACAATTATCCATTGGCTATGAACATAAAAGTATTATTATAATTAGGAATAATTTATTTTCATCGGTGCAATTATCTTCGTATGTCGGAAAAAAAGTGAAATCGTTAAAAAATAGTACAGAAAATGTGAAAGCAAGTGTTAGTGAGATTTTACTAACGATCTGGGTACTTAACGTTGAGAAAAAAAAACTCGAGTACGTATTCTTCCACTTGAAAAATTTTGTTGAATTTAAGAAGAATGCATATCGTACATATAAGCATTTTACCTGAAGAGAACGCTCTATTGGTAACATTTTTCTCAAATGCAGAATTGTCAAAGATGAATACAATTTGTATAATGGATGTAATACGATTGCTAAGCTTGAGAGAAAGACTTCCATTTAATTACAGTTTATCACCAAACAACATTTCATATGTTTAAGTAAAACTATTTTAAAAAACGAGTTACATTTTTTACTTGTACTGCATTTTTTACAGCAAAGTTATCATTTTATTCTTAAAATATTACTACTAAAATTTAAAATAATGCTATACTTCTTCTTTCATACCACCTTGGGATCCATTTCGAAGGTATACTGTCATATAAAATAATTTAAAAATTCATACAGCTTGAATAATAGTTCCAACTCAATTTATTTTGTCTAAAGATCGGATTTTCTTCTGTATGAGTATTTTTTTTCTAAGTTTATGGATAATAAATTACTGTATCATGAAATTGAAAATGTTATACAAAAATGACAAAATCCATAGTCAGAATATCAATGAGCCATTTTTACTCACAAAAGGATCGGTAGTACAAGACCAGGAAAATATAAAAAAAAATAAATTTCAATATTTTCAATAATCCATTCCCCTAAGGCACGACTTTACGTAGTTTTTCTTCTACAAACTCGTTTACTTGCTAGTTGCAAGCTATATCCATACAAATCCAAATAAAAGTAAAAAATAATGACTTTGTTCTTATATTTCAGCAGCTCCATTCGGAATATAGGAGCACGTACACATGGCACGAGTACACAGGGCCGCACCAGGAGCACACAGTTGTTCGTCGTGCCCCTCAACCACCACCAACTTCCAGTAAGTCTATATCTACAATACTTTTATATTACAGTACAACGAAAAAATTTACCACAGAATAATAAGAAATAGTTTATAAAATATATCAATATAAATGACAAGAGATTTACTACAATATAGAATTGTTTTCTTATCTTCATATCAATATTTTTTAGAGCATCGTCGATGGATGTATATTATTTTTATTATCATACCTTATTTTATATTCCTATCATGCTTATTCGTGAAATATATACTCTTAATTCATCTTGAAGATGTTTGCTATTTAGATAACTATTTCGTACATTTTTATATATACTCATCAATCGACGTTGCTTTTTAGATTTATACATGTTCTTACGACTTTTTCTTAAAATAAATCTGTAGTTCGTTTTTTAGGAGTGTTAATAGTCGTATTATATTCTTGGTCGTGCCTACACCTCGTGAACGTCCACACGTTTTCATCATCACATTTTAAATAATTTAACACAAGTTTACAATGTTATTTATAATTAGAATTCAAAAATATACGTAGCTTTCTGTAATTACATTCATTAAATGTCCAGACAAAAAAATTTATCACGTCAGCATTTTAGATGTTTCTTTTTTTAATAATAAATATAGAATAAAAATGGAAATATTAGAAAAATATAGTCATAAAGAAATGGGAAAAAAGGAAAAGCTGCAACGTTGCAACAGCTCAACAATTTTACTGATAAGAAAAAAATTGTCACAACTAACTAGCTGAAACAATAAAGTTATTCAGATGAATATTGTGAAGTAGAATTCATTAAATTAATTGCAATTTATGTAATGATTCAGGGTACAAAAAATATATGACTTTATAAAGACATATCTATTATTGACCATTGACCGAATGGAGTCTTTGAAATAAGAAAAATATTTCAAATAATTTCAATAAATAAAAAAAAAAATTTATCAATGCTTTCTTAATTTAACGTGATGAAATTTTTTGCAATAAAAACGCAATCAAAACTTAATTGGAAGACTTGCTAGCCAATTGGTAAAAAAAAGACTTGTAAACATGTGTTATCAATTATTATTAATTATTTTTATGAAAATGAATTATCTTAACAATATATTATTAAATAAATTAACAACCTACAAAGTCATAGCACTACTAATTTTGTTGATTTTGTTGAATCTTTTTAATCTTATTTTCGTACTCGCAGTGTTCACACTCATCAATCTGTCATCTATTCATCACCTCTACTATATTTCTTCAGTTTCAATGTTGCTCGCTGTATCTTTTGTGCACACACGTGGATTATACATGTCAGTGAGGATTCTTTTCAGTACTTATATGCTCGAATAAGTCGCAATCCAAAGAGTACATTTGTCCGGAAACACAGAGGCTCATTATATGCACATGAACGACGACATCGCGTGCTCCGGGGATTCCTAAGAGAGTGCCGGGCATATTCAAACCTTTCACCCTCCCTCTCCCTCCGTCCATTACACCGCAATCAAGTGGCCGAATTGGCTATATTCACAAATTGCTGGAAAAATCCATGGTGCTCTCTGAATTTTTTTCATAATTGCCTCTTTCCACTTTGCTTCTTTTGTTCCATACGTTGCTGAAAAAAAAAATGAAGCATTATTTACCACTGTAAAATAAAATTGCGAATTCAATCAATTTTTATATGCGTTAATAACAACAAATAATTAAAGGTTCATTGAGTTTTATTCAACCTATATTCTAAAAACAAAAATGAAATTTTAATGTTTTGAGAGGATTTAAAAATATACTGATGAAAAAAAACTTTTTCAATGGATTAATAGTAAAGGCAAAGATGAATATGGCTGTAAATTAAATAATTTATAAACTCACAGTGTTTTATTAATATGTCGGATATGAAATTCTTTGTTTGTTGAAGCTGAGTACTGTAGTTAATTAAATTCATGTTGACTCAAATAAATATACTTAAATAAATGTTCTGAAGTATTTTATATTTGATTTTAAATATCAACATTACATGTAAAAATTTAATATGTGTCAGATTTCTATTTTTAAACTTCTACCATTTTTATTATTCATTCAATATTATTTCTGAAATAATTACTAAAATAATTGGGCTTTTAAAAAAAATTTTCAAATGTATAACATAAACTCCGGCTTCAATGTATTTTTTTTTTTTTCATTCCTAGAAAAGTTTTCCGCATTTTTTCTAATAATAAAAAATATTAAATTCACTTATTTTTCATTTTTCTATTTCAATATGTGGGCAAAAATTTTTTTACGAGTTTATAATTAATTAAAATATTCATTTTCTAGGATCAAGTTCAAATTTGTTATCAGCAAAATACAAATTGCCTTGGATTTGACAATTAATTCCCAATACAATCACAAACAAAATTTCGTTTTCGTATTTTTTTATCCACCAGTTCTATTGACACGTGAAAAAAATGGATTTTTCCTAGCAAATTGTGAACATAGCGAATTCAATAAAACGGTAAAAAAATAATATTATGTACAAAAAAAAAAATTACGAGATAAAAAAAAAAATTGCCAAAATCGAAAACGGTGCCAGCTGCGAATTTTGATTGCAGCGAAACAAGCAAGCACAAAGCTACAATCGGCCAAGTCAACTGAGGATGAAAATACTGAAGGTAAGAAGAGAGACGTTACGAACGGTGCTACGCAAACCAAGCCTCTTTATTATTCTTATTTCTTATTATATATTAATTATAAATATATTTTAAAAACTTAACTTATTTATTCTTTTTTCATTACACCTCTTATTTTCACTTCTTATCACTCTATCAATACTTTTCATCTTTTTCAATTACGTGTATATACAAACGTAAGAAAATGAGTCGTAAGAAATAACCACACGCTTGATGTATTGCTTGCTTTTTATATCAACATTTGTTATTGTTAGTTTTATGTGTCTAATTATTATTAATAAATTATATTATTGATTTGCCTGAGAGAAAAAAAAATAAATCATTTTTTTAATAAAAAAAATACTTACAGTTATAGAATGAAAAGCTTCTATTTATCACTCTAGTATGAATTTTTATCATCAGCTATATCTTCACTTGCAGAAATATTGATCGCTGTAAATTCAAATAATTGCATATTATAAATATTTATTTACTTTAAGCAGACATTTTCTATTTTTAGATTCAAATATAATAGCACAAGACCTTGACATTTAAAAAATTCGAATAAAAAAAAAATACCTGAATGAATGCATTTATATAGCTAACTATTGATTATTAAGATTAATTAAATATTCTGCATTTACGTGCTTGAAGTGACAATTTAATAAATAGTTGTAAAAAAAACAAGAATAATTAAATGCTAATTATGCAAAAGATATTAATAATTTAACAGCATAATTAATAATATTTTACATGATTTTTCTCGAATTAGTAACTCATTTACTGCATAAAATGACTTTTATTAATAGTCGTCAAATGAGAATAAATTTAAAAAGAAAATAAATAAATCTTTTATATAAATAAATTATTCAAAAGCTTATTTATTTATTTAAAAGTGAGTTTTTTTTTATTCTAAAAAATCAATAAATCTCTCAGAGCATTAGTTTTCAGTGTTATTGATTATTATTAGCAACTAATTATTAATTATAATAATTAATTTATTTAATTTTTTAGTTGCGTGCTAGTTTGTGGTACGGTCGTAGGTGCACGACAACTACAATTAAATAATAAAAATGTCACAAAGTTTATTACAACTGAATCCACCTGTCTTTAACTTGATTCACATCTTTAAAAGGAAACAACAATCGCGTGCAATTGACTGTTCATTCATTCGTTGCGTGACTTCAAACCCGCGAATTCCGGTCACAAAAGTCGCATGTTTGGCGCACTAGGACTTTTCGAGGAATCAATAGCTGCATCGCAATTTCCATAATTTCTAGTGCTTAGTATATATGTACATACTATGCCACTCACATAGTTGAGAAGCTAAAAAATAAGAAAAAGAATAGAAGCGTTGAGGTAAAATTCAGAAAAAAAAAGAAAAAAGTCTTTATACGCACCAAGAATTTGCTGAGGTCTTTCTTAAATAATTTTTTCAGTCTGTTGCTCAAACTTAACGTGCACCTGCGACCCTCAACATGAGTTCCAGAGCCTCGAGAGCCCGTGCATGTAAAATATAGAACCCGTAGCAGAATCTAGATTTCAGAGCGACGTGCTGAATAAAGTGGATAAATATCACTAAAATATAACCATAATATATCAAGAAGTTTAACCTATAAATAAATAATGCAGTAATTGAGTTCGAAATAAGGCACGTTACTCTGGTAGAATTATTGTTATTTTTGTTTAGACGTAGAGATACACACACGAGTCATGTCATCAATAATTTCGACTCACTGAGTTTGTATAGGCGGTTTCGAGGTCGATGCTATTGATCCCTCATGTCTTGAAGGGGGTGGTAAGAGTCATGTAGGGAGGGGCAACTTGTAGGTGTGAAAGAACAAGATTTTTTTTAACTATGTTATTTAGAGACAGACAATTATTTAGCACCACTTTTTAAAACTTTTAACATGCTGGTATTGATTCCGTTACATATGATTATTGAATTTCGTGATTGTATTCACGTGTCTGTTGGAGTTTATTATCCCTAAGTATAGTGTGATAAAGTTTTTCTAACATTGGTGATATACATGAAACTTCTAAGAAGATTACAGGGAAGTTGGTTTAGGAAAGTAGAGTTTTTATTTTATGACTGACTACATATTGAATTTTTTTATTTTCAACTGGAATTTAATGGCACAGAACTTTGTTTAAATTAGAGAGTTGATTTAAATGGGAAAATTATAAACATGTTTGCTGATTATTGCAATTATAGATGTCGCACTAAAAGGCTCTTTTCCGGTAGATTAATTTTTGTTGTACTTTTGAAGTAAATACATTTATCTGAGAAAAAAATTGGATTTTTATGATGTAAAGTTTTTTCTAAAGACTTAAACTTTGATGCCTTTGCATTAAAAAAATTCTTTTTCAATTTATCCTGTGGATAATTATATTTCCTAGAACTATCAGAGTTGAAAACTGAAAGAGACTTTTCTAACCTAATCTCACTGAAGTTGATAAACCAACAACAGTAATCACACTGCAATTTTCAAAACAATACCTTGAAAATCAAACTTATTTATTTTTTTTAAAAGCATTTGATAGATTTTTTTCAATATTTTCACCTTTAAAATATAGTTTTCAAGTATAATGAAAAGCTGAGAAATTTTCACAAAGTGATGACACATTCAGAAAAATTTTCTATCCAATGAAGAAGTATAAAGTACAAGCTCTCATCTATTTCTCAGTTTATGAAAATCCGATTATTTTCATCAGAATACATCTGTTCAGAAATAATTTTAATTCCTGGAAATTTTCAGTGATAAAAAATTATTGAGAAATAAAAAGAAATACCAAAATCCGATTATGTTTACAAATCTAATCATTTTTGCATTTTTGCAAGTATTTTATAGTGAAAGATGAATACAAGAATTATTTATAATTATTCTCATTGCGAATAGAAAATTACCATAAATTTCAACAAATCACATTACATTCTAATTAAATGAAAAAAAGGAAAGAGAATTTCTCCTCATAAATCAACATCAAAAAATTCCGTAATCACTTTTTAATTCTACGTTGCATTTTTTTCTCTCTCATTTGAAGCAAAGAAAGTTTCTATTAAATAAATCATTTTAGTTTAATTCCCACAAAAGTCCAAGCATTCACTATTTAAACTAGCTTAATGACAATAACGTGTCTGTTAAAAGAATCATAATGCCATAGGAATTAAAAATAGGTGGGAAATAAATGAAGGTATAAATAAGAGAAAGCTCGTTGAACAAGTAGGAAAAAATACGGACACGAGGGATTGAGTTCATTGGCCATAGCAGGAAGATGAAAAGAGGTCGAGAGGGTCATTTAGACTCTAGAAACATTCAGGATGAGTCTTTATAACTCTGATCATCTAGCTTTTAACCCTTGTAATCCTTTATCCTTTTCCACAAGTATTCCATTCTACCACTAATAACAAATTGCTTGAAATTACAGGACCTACATTGGAGCCGCCATTGCCACGACGGAAGAAGTGTCCGGAACTCGCTTACAGACATCACGAATTTATTACTGCAGCTGACAGCGACGGGATTGATGGAGTTGATACCAATGTTGTTGCTGATAAGGTTCGAGTAAGTTACAGACGCTTCACTTTATTAATTAAATCTTTTTGTTAAGCCTAGACTTACTATACATCCAGATTTTGCTTAGATTGTCAGGGATTTAAAGGTTCTTTACAGAATCATGATAACTCAATGTAGTTCTTTCAAGTAGTTCTGACACTAGAGTCACCATAGAAAGCTTTTTCAATTACTTTTAAAAAGGGAATGTAGAGTATGGGTAATTTTTCTTGTTAGAGTACAGACTCCATACATTGCTGTTTTTTATGTGAGTCTGAAAGAGATTTACTTGTCAGAAAAATCTCGGCTTGCAGATATTTTTGAATGAAAATCAATCAAGAGAATTGCTGGGATTAAAAAAGTACAATAAAATAAAGCTAGAGAATTTTATTTATCATTTGTTCAATTGCTTTTAGAAATAAAACAATAAGTTAGAAATTGAGTTTTAGAAATATCAAAATATAGACGATTATCTAAGAGGACTATTTTACCTCAGGGACCATGTTGCCCACAATTTAATAGAAAATTAGAAGTTCTACATTGTTTAAAGTCAACAAAGTTAATAATTCAATTTCTAGAATTAGCTAGATGTTTAACTGTTTGTTTTTCATCCAATTTTACTTGAAAAAAAACATTAGTATACCTAGTTCAAAAAGAGTACTAAATCATTCTTCTATTAGTCATAGGAATAAAATATTTAATATGTTCAATAAAAAAGTTTATCTTGGCTTTTTCATGAGCAAATTTTCAATTCCCACTCACGTTCATAGGAACCAATCATCCAGTCCTTTGATGATCAGATGATACCATGCATGTAAAGATCCACTTAGAGTAATGAAAATAGAATTGATGGGGAATTTGCTCACAGAAAGGTTTATCTCTCATTAGATTTATGTATAAATATATTCGGTCTACGGTTCCTATATTCATGACCGCATGTTGAATAATCTAATTTTTACCGGTTTTGATTTATGAAACTAGATTACAAACTTACTAACTTCGTGATAACTATGATTAGAGTATTTATTATCACATTGATGTAAATTAAAAATAATAAGTGATGTTATCAAGTTTCATTGTAGTAAAAAAGGTAATTTTAAGTTAACAAAAGATCACAATACTTGAGAATTAAATTGTGAGAACTGCCTTTTTTAATCAAGATTTTCCAATAATTTGGAAGAAAAAATAATCTGAATTTCAATAAAACACACTTTGTTCCATTTGGCTTAATTGAAATCGTCTATGATGCTCCAGTAAAAAATAATCTAAAATTTTATCACTTCTCTTCATAAAAAATAATCTAATTTATCATTTGAAAGTTGAATGACAATTTGATAAAATAACCTACTTCCAGTAAAATAGCTTACAATAAAACGCAGAAAGTCTTTCTAAGAAATGGTACAGTGCCAGAACTACCTCAAACATGATAAAAAGTTGCAGAAAAGCAATTTGTAAATTTGAACTGGGTCTAAAACCCCTTTACAAGGAACTAGACCCATTGAAAATATCTCAAAGGACCTACATCTCTTTTATCACACCTCGTCAAATTCTGTCTCAATTGTCACTCGGTCAAAAGCTATTCTGCACGCGAAACTTTCTAGCTCGACCTTATCGACACAATTAAAAAATTCCATTGTTCTCTTTTGCTATTCCATCAGGAAGTGACAGGAAGTACAGCGTTGCCACCAAGTCAGCTGAGTAAAGCAATTTCGCGAATAAGTACGGAATATCGATTGCAGTTTGCTTGGCCAAGACGAGCTCAACTGACAAACGGTGATGCAATTGCACCACTGCCAGCAGCTGGAGGTGCTGGTGGGAATGCTGGTGGTCCACCACGAAAGTCATTGAGTATGGGTGCTCTAAAGCAAGGAATAGCACCGTCTGGCCCAGCTCCAGTGCACATGAGAAAACGGCCAGGCGATGTAGATCACAAGCGTGATGGTAAGGCTTCTTAGTTTGTCAATGCTCGTCACTTATATGTATGTCCGTTCAATTGGATTAGCATTCATGGCCAGTGATACTGATATTGACTTTTTCTAGGAGTCCAAGCATCCGAGCTCGAACCGTTGGTTGGTAGTAATGCTGATAATATCGATGGGGTTGTTCTTGAAGCTGAAGAACGTGATGAAGAGCTTGCTGAACTCAAAGTTGCCTTTAGGTCAGATTATTTCACCTACTTATGTAAATAATTGATCCTTTTTATCACTTTCATGATAAGCAAAGTGTTGATGACGTTGAAAAAATTACTTTACAACACTTTCTAACTAAATCATCAAACTCTCAAGCTTTAGTCAACCCAAAAAACGAAATAGTTCATGGAGTAGATTTTTTTTTCTACCTTTGGGGTTCTCTTGTGGTTTGAGGGTATCCCTATCACTAATGCATTAGCATATTAAGTGTCATTCAAACTCCCAATCTTGACAAGCGTCAAACAACATTTTAATGATGTTTGTCAGGCATTATTAGGGATCAAACGTGGTCTTACAACGAGTTCAATGCAGTTAACTGCAATCTAACATGACAGAAATAAAGAAGAACTATAAAATACAGCATGCAAATGTTAAAAAACGGTAAAGTGAGCTACAGAATTTATGAGAATAAAAAAGTTTATTCCGGGTCAAGTGCGGATTAAGTGCGGTCAGGTAAGACTTAAATGTAGAAAAAAGCTTTCGACTTAAATTCTTCAAGTAGGTTATAATGACAAACAGAATGAGATATAAATTATCCTACAATAAATTCATACGAAATTTTTATATCTTTTCAATGAAAAAATCTCAACTGCATAAATTCATTGCAAGAAGTTTTTGTGACAGATATCAAATTCCACCCTAAATTCCAAAGATTATTGCTAAACTCGTAGTACTGAATATAAATCCACACATTATCTCTCCATCATGGCATTTTAAACTTTTAAATGTCAACTGTAATCTGAAATGTATAATAAAAACCAACTAATGAAAAACATTAGTTTGAACGGATTTGCTACTCAATTGTATGTATATATATATACATTTTTTTTATTTTATATTTAAACATGACATAAAAGTACGTGGATAAAATAACTACGACAGGGTGTAGTAGAGTGGATTGAACAGTAAACTAATTGAAAATAGATATTTTTTATTCGGTTGTGTCATTTGCAGAGAAAGAAAGTCAGCTGGTAGAGGAGTGAGAATCATCGATGACAATAAAGTGAAGGAAAACAATAAAAATCGTATGGAAAAAGCCTTTCCAACATCCGAAATCATTGAACTTAGACGACTTGCTGATGAGTATAAGGTAAATTATTGATAGGAAGGATTTCTGTATAGTCTTCTTAGTCTTCAGTAATATACTTTGAAGATGAAAATCCATTGAAAATATTCCACTTGATCGCATGCAATTTATCTCTCACGATCAAATGAATTTTTGATCCTCGTTTGATACTTTGATATTTTCATTGGTAAAAATGAGCTCTTCTTCAATAGACAGATTTTTTTTCTAGAATTGTTATAGATTTTTTTCTTTACTCTTACAAATTATTACAACTATTGTTATTCTTATTACTGTTGTTATTATCATCCTTATTATCCTTTCATAAGCATCGAGACTGGGGCAGCGGTCTTGCATCTGAAGAAGAAGCATCCTTGTGGAAACGTGTGTCAAATAACCACGCGCTCAACGCCTTGTCTCTCGCCAGGCCAGTACATAAATTCTCGATGTTCATTTTCCTTTACGTCCTTTGTTATTTAATTAATTTTACCCACAACAATCACATGTTTGTGTTGAAATGTTTTTCAAAAAACATCACTTTGATGTTCAGATACATCATAATTCTGGTTATGTGTTGTGAAAATGAATATATTTATGTAGATGTGTTAATTGTTCTACAAAAATTTAGCACCTTCACTCTCAAACTTACCCTGTCGTAGTCATTTCATCGTATTTTATTGTTAATATTTTCGCATTATTTTCGAATGTATGAGAAAATAAATGTAAATATTTTGCTCATTAAATCATTCTTATTGCAGATCTGTTACAAAAGAAGAAAAAGAGAAAGAAAATACAAGAAAGGTAGCGCCTGTTACAAATACAATGCCACCAGCTGGGAGACCATCTTCCGTTCAAGCTAGACCTATTTATGAAATCCTACAGGACGATTTAAAAGCGGTTTGTAGAAATTTAAATGAATACTTGATTACTTACAAAACATGACTTCCGTGCTTTTCACTTCGAAAGTACTTTTAACATTTTTTCCCAACTTTATATACATTTTAATTAATTTCATTTAAGTCTTTCAACTTGAAAAATTATTTTACTTCGTTTCTTGAAATTTTGTTTGTTGGCTCATCCAATTTAGAGTGTCTTAAGACAAAAAATCGATGAGAATAATCTGATCATGAGAAGATGGTGGGAATAAGATAACTCGAGTGAGCTTGTTGTTGTTAATTAAAATATTATATACGTGCTTGCATGATATAAATTTGGCGAATTTTAAGCAACTCAAGTTATTATTAAAAAATTTTCAACTACATTTCGAGTTATTTATTTTTATAAATTAATGTTTATTTCCGGTTGATTGTTATTTCTCTTTTATATTAGTCTCTAATTTAGAATGAAAAAAAAATCGTTGACGAAAATTTGGCAAAAGTCAAACAGCAAAAAGGTTCTAGAGTATAAAATAAAAGTTAAAAAGTGTTTGGAGTACGGAAATCTCGGTATACGAGTCCAATTGACTCTTGACCGATTTTTTTTTTACAAGAATATGGGACACAACAGCACCTAAAGGCAAAATAGTATTTCTAAAAAATTTTAATGCACCTATTAACAACGGTTTCTTGATTGTTTAAAAAGCTAATAGGAAAAATAACGAAAAAAGCTTTAGCTCTTCAAGAAAAAAAGAGACTGTATATCAAAAAATTTTTCCATGACTTTTATATTTTTATGTATCGACAACACTATTATTAAGAAATAAAAGTGAATGACTGTGATAAAATTTTTATTTTCAGGATAACGAAAAAGCTATCGCTCGAGCAAGGAAGGAATTTTTGATTCGCCATCATTTGGATCGCACTACAGGGATTTGTAAATAATTTAATCTATATTTAAACATTTAATTTAATTATTTTCCTAAATCTATAAAAAAAAATTCCTTTTCACTAATGACCGGATTTTAATTGAAGTTTCTATTCGAGGCGATGGAGCATTACTGCCTTCTCCAACGAGAGAGAAGCTGGAGCCAGTGGTGCCACGTCGCCGTGACGAATCCAAAGAGAACCGTGATGAGATTCAACCACGAACCAAGTCAAGCCCAAAGAACAGTCCACGAACAGGACGCTCGCAGAGCTTAGGACCTCTAAGTAGATCACCAAAGAGACAAACACCGAGGACACCGTCCGTCAGTAAAGATATCAAGGTATATTCATGATCCTCGTTCTTCTTATGACAGAACTACTCCCTAGTAGACATTTGTCAAGTTCTAGAATAACACTTCAGTCCCAAGTTGAACTCAATTTATCGAGTTTCGAAATGTACGATCAAAATAGAAATTGTCAAGTAGACGTTTATCTGGCTTACATTACCTCAAGTTCTTTTCTTATTCTTCTACTACTTCTTCATTCACTTCTCGCCTGAACATCCATCGTGACATTTAATATTTCAGTCGTTTTCTAAATTAGAAGAGTGATCATTCAAGTAGAAAGCTCCTGTAAAATTAATTTCGTGATATATTACTCTTTAAATTTATTTTGACGATAATAATAATATCAAATTTTGATGAAAAAGAAAATTTCTTAACAATTGTATCGTGTAATCCTAAAAGTAAAGAGTTTTGAAAAAATTCATGGATAATAATTCTTAAGAGTAGATCACAGGATATTAAAATATGCATCAATGACTTTGTAATGCTGATAATTAAATCATTCTCACAAACTAAATTATTTGTTGAAAAATATTATGCACTTTGAAAGGCTTTTTTTATTTAATCAAAGAATATACTTGAAATATTTTATTAATATCAACATTTTAAATAATTCAACTGATAAATAAAAATATTGCAGTGAAAATTTTTTGCTAATGTGCTAATGGATGAACATGATTTCATTTCTCTTTTAACATTTTATTTCAATTATTCACCAGAATATAAGCATTAATCAACATTTTTAAATTCCCATTAATTGCTTTTAAAATCCACTAGATATAAATCCGAATTTATGGAATAAAAAAAAGCCTCTATATTGTATTGTTAATCACAAAAACTCAAGTGTTATTACGTAGAGTGTTCAATTAAACTGAATTAAAGAATGCTAATATATAATGCAACGAAAAAAGCATAGTTAGCGACTCATTATTCAATTCGATGAAGCAGTTCAAGACAAAACCAAATTGAGTATCAATGACAATAAATTCTAAAGGAAAATTTCCTTCACGTCTTTTCCTCATTTAATTGTTTAATTTTTTTTTTATCGACTAATCTACTTTAAGAGTTGTAATCTATTTTTGTCTGATTTAACTATACTTAAATCGTAAAAATTTTATCGTCAGCCATTTCAAGGATATTAAAGCAAAGCTAAAATACCTGATCTTCCAAGGTGTATCTTGTTACATGCTTTTAGATATAAATAAATTTTTTATACGAAAGAGATACCAGTCGGCAACATTATTTTTGAACACTCTACGAATTTATCACGATTTAACTGCAATTACGTTTCTAAAAAGTGGATCACATGATAAAAAAAAAAGAAAACGTTAAACACATCTTTAAGTGCAAACTTTTAGGTTTTTATTCGTGTTCTTTGGGGTATATACACCATAATTTGTACTTTTTTTTACGAGCATACAAAGATTAAAGTCGAGTAACGTTTACTTTTATTATTAAAGCTCCTAGAGAAAATTAAACTAGAAAGATTATAGGATAAAACAGATTTGGAAATATTTAAATTCAAGAGTTAAAAGAATATACTGGGCAATTTTTTTAAAATCACTGTTAAATTATGAAGAGAATATAAATGGTTTTATTTTGCTAAAAGTCTCAATTTATTTATTGAGAATAAATAATGCTTTATGAACAAAATAATTAAATATAACAATTGGTACTTCAAGGCTGTAATTAATTTTAAAGGCAGAGCTACAGCTTTTCCCAAGACAAATATGAATATTCTTTGCCATAATTCAGATGAGAAAAATTAAAAAGGAAATTTTTCAAGAGCAAAGAAGAAAAGACTGAAAGTATTCACAAGTCTATAAAAATTATTTTACATTCATTTTATGTTTGACTTCATGGATTTTTATTAGAGAATTTTCAATGTAAATCATTATCAAATGACGTAATATTCTCGACTACATGTTCATTAAATTTACGAGAATAATTCCTTAACTGAGATTATTTCTAATAAAACTGATGAATAAAATCATACTACAATGTATAACAGACAGAAAAATACTGCAAATGACTCACTGGTTTTTACGACAAATAAAAATATCTTCAAGCATTAAAAAAAATTCTTAAACGCTATTTTCTTGAAATATTATATCTTACTCTTTCCAGATAAAGTACTAAAGTGAATCAAATTGAATAATTCTGCTGGAGCTTATTTATCTGGTTCCAAATAAAAAGTTAAAAAAATACAAAGCTAATCTATTGGCTCGTAGAAATAACAAAGTGTAATGTAAACAAAAAAACAACCGGCTAGACGATAAATATACAGTAGATGTGTCATTTGTGGTCAGACGATTTTTTGTTAACCGTACCCAAATCAATTGGGAGGTTTCACAAATAACCATATATATCTTATGTAAAGTCTCTTCAAAATTATCATTCAAGAACATTCTATCAAGATCAGCTTAACTTTTAAAAATATTATTTCAATTAAAGCATTCCATTTCTATCAATGATGAATATTAATAAGATTTTTGATATGCTCATTAATAAATTAGTTTAGCCTTTGTGAAGCCTCAAATTGAATTGATATCAATGTAACTACTAGACAGTCAGAATTTTTGGAAAGATTATATTGGCACGAGACAAATATTCAGGGTATTTTGGTAGCATATGATTACCAAAAGCTTTTGATCCATCAGACTAAAGTGATAGCAAAGATCTTTCCATTAATTTTGGTAGAAATAGTAGAAAACGAAATAAAATAAATAAGAGTGATTCTCTCACAGTGACAGTAACTCAATTTTTTGTTTTCAGGAGAAAGAGAAAGAACATAAAGATAAAGAGACGAGAGACAAAAGTGGCGAGCCAGAAAGGCATCCTCGTCCGAGTAAGTAAAATGTCGACATTTTAGCTGTTCCCAGGTGATTGGCTTATGTCGATCAACCTTATAAAACATACGAGAACTGTTCGTGCCTCGATCGATCGTCGCAAAGTCTCAATTCCCCACTCTCGAATGCGAGAATACTATATATTGCCTTTGTCCTTATTTAAACCTTGCCAAATTCAACCCATTAAGCCATGAACGTTACATTATTTATATATATCTATATCTATATACTTGCATCTTCGTGCATACGATTGACTCTATCAGTTAGCGTTTAACTTTATATAATATTGGAAACTTTGACTGCTCGTTTGCTCGTCCGAGTATGTCTCGTTTATTTCAAAAACAGTTTATTATGTCGGAGGTCAACGAACCAAATTTAGATACCCACCGGTCTTTTAATTGCTTTACTAACAATGTTACTAAGCTATTTCAAAAATACCAACACGTTTGAAAAATGGAATTTAATTTAATTTTATAGCTGAGAATAGATTGGATTTTTATATTATGCGTGTCATAGAGAGATATACAAATGAAAAAATCAAATAATTCTGTGTAGGGTTCTTAATGGAATAGACTGAAAGCTTTTGATTACATTAAAACTTCATTTGTAAATTGAATGGATTTTTTCTAAGTAGGCATCTTTTCACTTTTCATGTATTCATACATTTTTATGTATGTACAGAGATATTTTTTCGATCTAAATTGATAAACATTGTGTTTTAATTATGACAAGTATTTAAACGTGAAGTTTCAGAGATGCATAATATTTAATTAATAATTTTCTACATGTTTACAATATTTATTAATTAATTACTGTTGGTGAAAATTCCGGATAAAATTCCGAATTGAATAATTAACATTGATAATTATGATTTGATATTTCTGGAATGTAGAATTTTTTGTTAGGAACGAAAATTAGCAGTCAAACCAAACATTAGTAGATTTTTGAATTTATAATTCATTAATTTAAATGTAAACTATTGATTATTTGATTTAATAATTCAAGTTCAGTAAACTCTAGATAAATTTCAAATGGATGATTGATTTAGTTTGATTAGTTGAATAGTATTAACTTGCTTCTGAAGGTTACACTGGTCTGTCAGCAATCAAGAAGTATTGATTTGTCAAAATTTAGCTTGAGAATTATTAATTAATTGGTAGTATTGAATTAACTTTTAAACATTGTCTTGAATATCTAAAAACTCCAATGAATTTATTGAATAAAATTTTTCATTTGTTTGACTAAATATATTTTAAACAAAAAAAATTATTAAATTGAAATTGAGTAATAAACTGCAGTTCTCTCGAAGGAATTGAAAGGTATAAATACACTCTCTAAAATTGGAAAACTCAAGTTCATATCACTTAAAAAAATAGTAGTTTGCTTTGTTATTATCAGAAGTTGGAAATATAAGTGTGAAAATTAATTAAAAAATTCCATAGCTATAAGAAAAATAAAAAACAATTATTTTTAATAATTAATTGTTCGAAAATTAAATATCAAACTATTCCATTATGTTTAACATTAAAAGGAAACAACAAAGTTTTCTTATTAATTGAAGAAACTTCATAGTTTGAATTTTAGAGAGTGCAATATAACTAGAGTGATGAATGTAAATGCATTAATCGAACGGTGGGTATATTAGAAAATAAAGTGAATAATTTTAGGAAGATGCATGATAGTTATCCTTCCTAATTGTGATTATATTTTCCCTTTTATTAAATGTAAATCACTATTTTATTTATTTCTAGTCGTTTTAACAGAACACTTTATCAGAATTTGAGGTAAATGCTAATAAACATTTCCATCTTATCGCAAATTAATTAAAAAAAATATATCATACCCTATTAACTAATAAAAACACAAGCTCACTGACTTCGATCGAGCGTGTGGACACGTGGAGATAAATTAGAGTGATTAGGCTACGGAGCGGGTGTTTCAGCGGTCGGACGTGTCCGGTGGAGCATAAGAGAGTCCTCTTCTTCCTCAAAATCCCCAGTGATAGTGTCATCGACAAGTCAGCCACCCATACCATCGTTATCAACGACATCTTCTGGCCCTGAGCCTACGCAACTTCAAAGAAGGCCCTCGCCAAGAGCGCAGCGCAAATGTACGTTCAAAAATTGCCATCGTGCAAGAACGCTGCATCGTTTTTTCACCCCTTTTCAATTCAACCATTTACAATTATTATTCATCGTGCTCTCGAATTGACTAAAAGCTTCTCTGTCTTTTTTTTCTTGTCGTTCTTTCATACCAAGTCAACACGACCTATTGTTTTGTGAAAAAAAAGATTTTTAAAAAAAAAAAAACAAGTAAAAGGTGAAGTGATTTATGACTTTTTTTATTTCAAAAGTTTTTTGGCTTCGTGTTAAATTAAAAATCAAAAAAAAATATTACTTTACTCATACTACTTAAAATTTATATAACTTAGTGCCATGTTTTCTCAAAATAGATGAATATTTATTGAGTTTGGAATTTAGATTGTTTTATGAATAATTTATTCTTTAAAAAACATTACAGCATTTGCATAAAATTTTCCATGTCACCACATATATCTAATGAATAATAGAAATTTTATAAAAATAATTCAATTCATGGTTGATTTAATTGAAAATATTAATGAAACATTGGTCAAAAAGATAATGCAATTTAATAAGCACACGTGCATATATTATAATGCTGATAGAATACACATATCAATTAGTAAATCTGCTTTGAATACTAATTCTCATGATTATGAGTTATAAAATTAGATATTAATTTAATAATTACTAAATTCAAATATTACTGTTATCAACTGTTTAAATATTTGACTCATTAAGACACATAATTCAGACAATACTTTTCAAGGCTGAATATCCGAGTACTCTAGCTATTTTTTTTACAACTCCTTTGTCATTGTAGACTACATTGAAAAAAGAAAAAATAATGATCAGGAAAAACTAATAAAAATGGTTGGATGGAATCGATAATACAAATAACTTGTCAGCGATAAGGAAAAAAATCCAGAGAAGTTTTTCTTCCTGCTCCTGTAGTCTTTTATCGACTGTTGCACTTATTTTCATTAGTCCTCAAGTCCATTTGTCTTTCATTAGAAATAAATCCGCGTCTTCATCATCTCATTGATTCACGTCCCTCGCGTTCCGGCAAGCACAACAGTAAATCACTTAGGTTTAAAATGCCAATAAAAATGGTCAAGTTAAAATGAATAAGAATCATTCTAGATGTGGAGTTAAGTGCGGATAACACCGGAACGAGAACGGATTTTCTTCATCTCATCAATAATATATGTTCTAGCCTACCTCGCGACCACTTTATCCCATCGTCCTGTCAATCATCACGCGAAAAATACTACCAATGTACCAAACACATCAAGTGCCGTTAAAGTCCCTTTGGTTAAACATTCGGTTCATCAAAGCTCTCGCGACGGGTCCGGCTCCGGTAGCACGGGCCCGGCCAGCGGTCGATCTACCAGCTCTACAGCAACCTCGGGCTCGAAATCTTTGGACCGGGTTACCAACCGGACCCAAGCACTAAACCGAGCCCGAGGAGCAGCCAAAGCCAAGGCCACATCCGCGCCTGCTGACCCATCCAAATCATCCTCCGACAATCGATTTCAATCAAACCGAGCTAATGCAGCCCTGCAAGCTAGTAAGTAGCAAGCTTTCAACATCCGCCGTGTGATCTTCCTCCAATCCTTGCTAATATTCATCTGTCAGCACTGTAGAATTATTTTGATTCATTATTTGTCAAAGAAATATCATTATCAGCAACACTTTCTTATATTGAAGATAAATTTCTATCAAAAAAAAAAAATTATTTTTAGGAATTATTCCTCTAATTTAGTGTTAATTAAAAGCTTGCAAAAAAAAATGAATCAAAACCACATAATGAACATTAATAACGACTGCAGAAACATGGAAAGTAAAGTAAATTTATTACTTTACACAAAACAATTTGTTTCCGGCCACCTTTCTAATGTTCTGACCACGAAAATTTTGCTTGGAATACTTCGTACGAGTCGGGAAAAATGTACTCAGATTTTATGAAGATTAATTAGCTATTTTATAAGAACATATTGTTATATCTTATTTAAAATGATAAAAAATTTTTTTGTAGTGCTCAAACAATAGTTTGATATGTAAAAATAATCAACGATAATAAATATTCTCAAAACATAATCGTTGCTCTTAGAGTGTACAAGATATCTGAAAATTTATCATCGTATTTGAAGTTAAATGAATGGATGTGATCACTATGTTGATTATTTAATTATTATAATCATAGTAAAGAACGTCGCTCTGAAGTGAAGATAGGAACAATGATCACTCGAGTAGCAGCCTACTAATTATATCTATGTATACAAACATATAGTTGTGATGACTTCCATCTTATTGTAATGCTAAGATGAAAGATCCAGATATCATCTCGATTATGAAAAGAGAACGAATTTTATTTAATAATATTATTTAAAGTTATAAAAACAATTGATAGTTTAATGATTAAGGATGTTATATTTTTTACATGACATAAATTTATTTTATGAGCTAGATAAATATCACTTTACCATGTTTAATTATCTATTTCTAATTTTGAAAACTATTATAATCCATCTAATGACAAATTTAAAGCTAGACTAAACATTGCTGAATTAATTTCAATCAAAAGATGGAATAAATGAGCAACAGATAATCTGTCAGACGACAAAATTAGAATCAGTCATAAAAGCATGATTGCTACATTACAACAAATGATAAAGAGAACATGGAGAATTTTATACATGGAATTATGAACCACGAATAAATTACAGTAATAAAATTTTAATCCATGACATTCATTTGCCAAGTCACTGCTGCAGTATAATCTTGATTGTCATCATAATAAAATGAGGAGGTTCATTGTAAATTGTGTGATATCAGCAACTATATAATAACAACGAATTTATAATTAAACCAAAAAAAAAAGAATATTTAAAAAATTTTCATCATGGATGCTTTCATTATACAAACATTGAAATGGCCATTTCTATTTGTTTGTTTTCAATTATAGCAAATGGAAATGAAATTTATTGAGTTTCTTTATATTTGACAGGGGTGTAATTTAAAGGTTGTATCAGAAGGAAATGAAAACACCAGTCAGTTGAGTTAACTTTTTTCCAATAGAACCCACACTACTTTAAGGTAAAATTATTTCGGGTGGTTAACTGTACCATAAATCTTCAGGCAGGTTTGCACGAAACCACTGCTTCAATTTTTATTTTATCACTCAATTTATATTTATGTATATGTGTCTACAAAAGAGAGGGTAAGAACTTGATGAAATACTTGGAGGCTTGGTGGAGATTAATTTTTTTTTTTCAAGATATTGACTTCTCAAGTAGACAATGTAAGCACGTGATTTTTTCCAGAAAAGCCTGAAAACCTAAATTTAATTTTAATCAAGTGAAAGCCAATATTATTCAGCATTTTTATCGTGGAGTTTATCGTCTAGAAAAAAATATAAGCTTAGCTTATCAAAACGATCAGATTGTCTTTAAAAAATGAAGAAATATTTTACTGCAATATTTTAAATACAAAATATTATAAAAAAGGAATTATATTTAACTAAGAAGATGAAGTATTATAAAATATTTTTCGTTGTCTTTAGCAATTCCTATCTATTATATTCTAGAAATCATTAAAAGCTTACTAAAGATAAGACCAAGTATAATATTTCAATTATACTCGAAAGTTTATATTACTTAATAAGATTACGTGATTATAATTTTGACCTTCGTTGATATCAATCATCTTGCAAACAAAAGCTGGTATTTTTATTATTCAGCCAATGTTCAACTAAATAGAAGTGAATCAACATCTTCCTTTCTATATTATTCCAAGATTAGCATTCATATTGTCACCTTCAGTTCATTATTAACGGAAAAAAAAATTACTAGTCTTAAAAAATAAAATTTTTCTAATTATTACCAAGCAAAATAAAAGATTAAAGTAAGAATTCTTCAGAATTTGCTGTTTAATTTAAAAAATTGCAAACCTTTTTTAATTAACTTAATCTTTTAAAGCAAAACTTAATTATCACAATTGTTAATTAAACTTAAACAGCAATCAAAAGAGATGAAGAAAAAAAAGAACATAACAAATTATAATCAAATTTCTCATTATATTGTTTCGATAATTAAATTTATCATTGAATCGTACTTATTGGATATCACAAGAGAATCATGTTGCTGAACATTGAATTTATATTTAGTATCTGATGCTCATTTAATTAACTACTATAATAAAATGAAAGTGTTGCTATGTTATTTCATTAGGAAAAGAATAAATTCAAAATAATTCTACTTTGTGTAAAAAATAAATGCATACTCCAATATATGTTTAAACCGTGTGTCACTAACATACAAAAGCTTCTTAAGTTTTGCAGAATATCTCCTTCAATACAAGTCGATGTCTAGATATAAGTGTTTAGAAGTAGTTTTGTGACTCTCTTGTATTTTGATCCTTCAATATGTTAGACTTCTTTGCTGCATCTCTATATATCTATCTCTATTTCTGTATGTGTTCTATATATGAATTCTGTTGTGTGTCTTCAGCCGACTATTTTTCACTGGCATCGACAATCTCTTTTTACCAAAGTGCAGGCTATTTATCTTAAATCACAACTCCTTCATTTTTTACTGATCCTCACTCCACTTTTATCTCTGTCCTTTATACAACTAAATCCTTTTTTTATCCTACTTTTTCTCTCACCACAGTCTATAACCAATCGACAAATTCGGTTTTTTGTATGCTTGCAGTACGTGATATTGATGTATTTCACTAACTCATAAATTTTCCTCACCATTTCCTCTCCAAGTCGATGCCATTTGTGACTTGTGTATATTGTTATGCAAATCGAAGTGGTGCATATTGTCACACAATCACTCACAATCGAGACAAAAATTGTTTTTTATTCAATGAAAAAATTTTTATAATGGACAACTTATTGATCAATTTATTGAATTTAATTTTTTTTTTAAGTTTAATGATCTTTAAAAAATATTAAATGTTGATTTCAGTTGAAAATTATTCATCAAAAACTGAGTTATAATTACTAGTATCAACTTCCCTGATAAAAAGCTGATCTGCAGAATTATTCAAGAAGTAATTAACTAAATTAAATGAATGAAAGTTCACTTTTTTTTTACTATTGACTCTCTTCAACTTAAAATATTGAAATATCTTGATATCTTCAGTTTTTTAAATCTCATTTAAAAAAGATAAAAGAAAATAGCTTTATCGAGAATCAATAATAAGTATATTTCATAAAAACGAAATTGCATTAGTTTTTTTTTTATGATAAAAAATCTAAACCAATTTGTATTATTTTTCGTTGAATAAAAAACATATTTTTTACTAAATACATTAAACACAAGCACATTAAACAATAACAGTCACTCTTTACACTCTCTTTTTATATGTGTAATTAAATAATTAAATGTTTTAATATGTAGTTAAGCTCCATTCTAACGCATTTGTAAGGACCAGCCAGTCATATCATTGCTTGCCATTTTGCTCGTACTCGACGTAGTAGTTTAAATTTTAAATTGATCAATTAACAATCGTGTAATACACATTTAATAAGTTCACCAATAATACTCGTGTGGTGTACTAAACGAAAAGTTAAAAAAAAGTTTAAAAAAAAATTCAAATTGGCTGCACGGCTTTTAGCGAATTGCATGAAATTGATAAAAAATTCTATCTGTCATCAATCATGGTGGCGAAATAGAATTTTATTGTGTAGAAAATTCTCATAAGAGGATACATTGAAGTGGAAATTTTTTTTTCATCAAAGAAATGAAACGTTTCGAGCGCGAAATTTCGATTGGAAACCAAAATATTCCATTATTAAAATTGAATAAAAGAAAATATTTCAAGATCAGAAGATTCCAGAATCACTCAATTAACAAACTGAAAGTTAAAAAAAATATTTGTATATTTTGGAATTTTTTAATAAAGTTTTTAAAGAATAATGAATTAATTCAAAATTGGATAATAATTGAATTCACGTCGATGGCGAGCTTGCCCTTGAAAAGAAGTAAGCAAATATAATTGCCAAATAAGCTCCAACCATTGGTCATTCCAGTGACGGCAGAACCACAGGTGAACGGAGATGCTACCGGAGGAGATTCGAGCGTCGCATCGACCCCCCCGTCGCAATCTGCCACCGTGCAAGTGCCATCGGCAACCGCAGTGATAAGCAGCAGCCCGTGGTTCGACGACGAGCCGGTGGTCAAGAGTCCGCCCGAGCCAACAAGGGTCAAGTCTCCAGAGCAAATGATCATGCGATCTCCAGAACCAGTCAATTGGACAGTTCCCCTAGACACCGGCAAGACGTTCACCGTGACCCAAAACGTGAGGGAGGGTAAGTTTCAACGTTTAATTAATAGATTCATTAATTAATTAAGCATAAGAAATCTCTAAACCATAATTATTAATTTTACTGCTCTTGAAACTATTAAATTTCTAATTGATGATGCTTTGATGAGCTATTCAAGTTTCATTTTTAATGAACATTATGGAATGAAATTCAAATTAATTAACTATATTATTAAAATATTAGAAAATCTTTCATTAAAATATATTCAAGTCAATCCAATTAATTTTTCTAAATTTATCATTTATTTTTAAAGCTAAGTTTAAATATTGAACTTCAATCAAGTATTTTTTTCCAATCAATCCTTTCATTAAATCTAACTATAATCTATTTGTATTTATTTTATCGCATCTTTATTCGTAATTATTCAAATAATTAAACTAATCATTTTTCTATTAAATAAACATTAATAAAAACCTGTCAAACTTTAATTATTATTATTCTCACACATTTTCAACTATTCAACCTCAAATGTATGTTTATTGAGTAGGTAAACTGCTGAAAAGTTTCCAAATTCAATTATAGTATAGCTAAATATAAAAATGTTTTAATTTATTTCTATCTAATTAAAGGGGAACCGTTGACCAGACCGCACAGCGAAGCGAAAACCTGGGTAGCACCATCAACAGTACCATCAGCTCCACAATCAGCTCCACCGGAGTTAGCAGCACTGCACAAATCCCATCAACACTCTCAACACTCGGGTTACAAGTCACCAGAGAGCGAGAGTGTCTCCCTGGGGAGTTATACAGGTCTGAATGGGCACAAGGACCCAGATTCGGAGAGAGACAGTCCTCTGCCCAGCAATCTACAGGGTACACCCACACCAACTCAAAGTGATAAGGTAAAATAATATCTCTATCGCTTTTTAATTGACTATTCAATCAGAAATTGAATATTTTATATCAAAGAATCATAGTATCAGTTTATATTTCGTGAACAAAGTTTATATATTTTCTGATCTTATTATCATATTATTTATATATTTTTTTATTACATTCTGTCACGACTAGTATCAAGTTCAATTGAATATGCTTATGAGGAAATAAAAATATTTGTTATCGTTTCCATCTCTAAGCTTGGTTGATTCAAAAAATGATCAAGATATGTTTCTATTTTATTATTTTATTTTATTAAAAAAAAAAGAACTTGGAATAACAGAAGTAAAAAATTTTCATTACTTAAGCATTCCTTTTTTTACTTTTAGAGAAAGAATTTTCATCTGCAATTAAGAGTTTGAATGGTGAATCTTGATAATGAAAATCCTCATAATGACAATGTTCATATGTTATATATTGATCTTCATTCTTTATTATATCTAAATGCTGATCATATATATATCGATATTCACAATTACTAATACTATTCAAATTTCTTTCATTCTTTAGTAGTATCTGTATGATTAATTCGTATGTTAGCTATTAGTTGGTCTATTATTATGACGAAAGATAATTTCCCGGATGTGTTACTAAAAACATTTGATTGATATTCAATGTACTAATTGAAAAGTTACATGAAGTTGATGGTTTATTACTCACAATATTTAGTTATTTATATTGACTTAAATTATTTTAGGATTCAATGGCCCCAGAGGAACACAAAGAGCCTCCACAGGATTCTTCGATAAAACCTGTGGCTGGAACGAATTTGAGATGTTTAGAAGACCCAGTATTTGAATTTGAAAAGAGCCAAACAGAATCAGCCACTCCAGCTACAACAACTGCACCAGCGACGACAGGAGCTGTAACGCATGGTGGATATAGAGTTCTAGAAGCTGAAAGTCCTGTAGCACCACCGGGAGGAAGTGGTGCCAGTGGAACAATGCCTTTTAATGTGGCTATGGGAACACCAACTCTAAGTCCTGGATCTGCTCAAAGATCAGTAGCAAGTGATGTCCTTGAAAAAGCACGTAATCGATTTGACAAGTTTTGGGGTAAAGGTGGCTCTGATAGTCAAGCTTAAAAATAAAATGCAAACAAGATGCTACTGAAATAAAGACTAGATCACAGAGTTTGATAAGATGACAAATGAGAAAGTGAATGTCAACATTTCGCTTGTCATCTTTCTAAGCTAAGTGCTTGTCTTTGTAGAGCGTGATAATGAACTGTGTGAAACACTCTTAAGGACTCACTTAAGAAGTGTATAATGATGAAGATAGTAAAAACATAGGACAGTCTTGATGATAGGGATAAAAATGCATGACAGTGAAATCCCAGGATAGCGATTGACACATCGCTAGAAAAGCTTCATATGCTATTATACGATATAAATTAATAGTCTTGCCTGCTTTGTGCATTTTAGATTACTCATGACTCGAGGAGAAAAATAATAATAAAGCAAAAAAATAAATAATAATGAAGAAAACTAATAATTATTATTGATAATGATGATGATATTAATGACGATGATGGTGTTAAAGTTATTCATTTTTGCATCAAGAATTTAAGACCAAGCTTTTGTTAATCTAGCTTCTTAAAATTAACCACGAGTTATCCATCATCTTTTAGAATTGAGAAAAATCATTTTTTAAATAAATAACCATTCACGTTGGCTAAATAATAATAGGAATCAATTTTTACATTGAAGACATTTTTTTTCATCTTCTCCTCTAAGAATTTCAATGTTTACAGCCATTTATTGATCTTATGAGAGTAAACTATGATTTAATACTCTGATCAAATTTCTTTTAAAACTTTTTTGTTTGGTTTAAAAATGATTTTTCCTCGGCAACATCAACAAGAGGATTTCCTTCGATGCTTTTTACTAGCCAATGTACTCGTGATCGAAGCCTGGTTCATAAAATTCATCAATCTCCACAAAGATTAATCGATAATTCTAGATAGGTTACATTATTAAAAAAAGAAAATGAAGAGAAGAAATAAACGCTGGTGGAAAATGATAAACAATGACATAAATATTCAGAATAAATTCATCAAAAACAAAAAAAAACCGAAAAAAATCATCAACGTAGCTATAACAAAAAAATCGAACGTTTGCTCTACGTTACATTCCGTCTGAAATTTTTTAATAAACCCTTATTTATTTATTTATATCCACGGAATTGAGATAAATTTCGTGTGGTTTTGAATCGAGCAGTTGAAGTTGACTCGTTACGACTGTATCAACGAGAAAACATAGACATAAACTGATTATAAATGAATTACTGCTTTAATTAATTAATCAATTGATTATGAATTGACATTTTTTGTCTGTTTGTTAGCTATTCATCAACAAGATAAAAATTCTTGTTTATGGTGAAATAAATCACCAGTATGATTCCAATACTTTTAAGTGATATCTTGAAAAATAAATGACAAAACCCCTGAAGATGTTCCCCGAGGAACAATTAGCCGATGAGCATACGGGTGATTGACATTGACTTATATATATTTACATACAAATATATAGATAGAATTAATACATTGCCATAGAAGACGAAAAAATTTTGAATCAAGTTTTTTAATTAGCCTCGCAGCAGCGGCTCTTTGGGGAACAACTTCCTTTCTGGTGTTTTTAATGAGAGACAATGGAGTTATTAGACCGAAAATTAATGGTGAGTAGTGGAACAAAAATTCTGAATTCATATAGTAACGATAAAATAAAAGAGCTTTTTCTCTCACGCGCGTTGAATAATACACCAGTGTATACCACACTCCATCCAGATCCACGTCCAAAGTCCAAGAAAATTTACCAACCGTAGTAACAGAAAGAAAACTAATCAATCTAAATGAACTAATTCAGGAGCTAAACAAAAACAAAAAAAAAATATAAAACAAAAAACCGATGCAAAAAAAATTTCAAAAGTATTCATAAAATGACTGATGGAATTTGATGAACGTAGGATTGAGGAGGATCTTAGCAAAGAAGAGTCAAGCTGTTTCAACTCATGACCACTTTTACCTTCATTTTATTTAACCAGAACATTTTTTCAATACATTTTTCTAAACATTTTATAGTAAAATCAATCAAAATCAAAATATTAAAGATTGTATAAAACGATAAAAACATTTTTTATCATCTAAAATGAACTTTTATTACTCAAATTTGTTTTAAATAAAAAATACTGTAGAAATTTTGAAATTGCTAGAAACTAGATGAATCAGGGATTTGTAAAATCAACATGACCTTTAGGATTATCAAGTTAAATCGAATAAACATTTGTTTTATCGATCGGTCAAGATACTTTTGTAATAAAAAAAAAAGAAAAAAACAATCTGAATTATTGATCTTTCAATATAAAAAAATATTAAAGATTTTAATTTCTGTGATTTTCGTTATGTTACAAAAATAAAAAAGAAACTATTTTCTGAACAAACAGTAATAAGTATAATGTAAAAGTGGTCGTAAGTCCTTCAAGATTAAATAAGATTTTGCCTAAGAACTGGTGGCTATGCTCTCGAGCTTTTTCATTTATTTAACTCTATTTTCTATCAACGACATCCAAAGTTATGGCCTCTCTCTCAATTATATCAGTTCGATGCATACAAAAGCAAGCCAAAATCATTCTTAAACTGCGGCATACCTAATTAGTGTTTACAATTAATTTTCATTAATTCATATTTTTAGCATAATGATTAATAATAAATGATCTATGAAATAAAATAAAATAGATGAAGGATTTTTTTCGAGTGCACTTTGCAAGCTCACACTGCCCGTCTAAATCTATAGGCACTTCTTGTGATCTTCTGGGTAAAAAAAAATAACGCAGAAATGAAGAAATATGTGATTCTCTTCTTAACCCTTTGTCCAATTGCCTCACGAAGGCATCTGAGACTGTAAAAACTGGGCTTTTTATTTTTTATATTTGAAACATGAAATGCGAATAATCGTTTTTAAATGATAACGATTAATAGATGATGGACCGATGCACGTGCTGGCCACGATTATTTGTTTATATAAACAACAAATGATGTTCAGAAGAAGAACTAACGAGCGTTACTTTTAGAAACGATTAATCAGTGTAGATGAGTGATGACAATCCCATTTAAAATTAATAATGTAAACGGGATTACATGGTATGCTGCGATTAATATTGTAGGTGTGAAAGAAGAGAGAGAGGACTATATTTTCCAGTAGACTGGAGAAATAAAGTAGAAGACGAGAAAAAAGAATAAAATTACAAAAAATTTAAAAAAATAATTAATTATTAATAATGATGATTAATGATTATTGATTAATGAATAAAAATTAAGAGGAGTAATCGTTTTGGATTAAACAGATATCTAAAACGATGAAGGCAACCCGGGATTTCTTTTTGCATCCCCGCCTTAGTCCGTAATGCCTATTATGAATAGATAGATCATATTATACGACAATTATATACAATATTTAAACAATGAATTGAAATAAAGTGAACATGAGAAAAAAATGAAGAAGAATTAATGGTGAAATCCAGTTAAAAATTGTGCGCATTGTGATGAAATATGAATTTTAAAAGAAAAAATTGGATTAATAAAAGTCAATTATTTGAAAATATTTAAATATTTTCTAATAAATCATTTGTTAATCTACTTTCCTTCATAAGAGTATTTCAAGTTCAAAGTTTATGCAAAAAAAAAAAACAATGAAATAACAAAAAAAAAGTAGACAAAGCTTTATTTAATAAATAAACATTTCTAAATTAATTGTTGATAAAATTTTATATGAAATAAATTTTTTTCTTTAAAATTCATTGTTTTGTCAATGTGCTGAAAGCAAAAAGAGATTCGAACCGAGCTGTTTTGCTAAAATACGAGAATCTTGGCAAGCTGGTGATGCAAAGTATAGTATAATTAATAAAGTATTGTTGATTTATTGTTTATATGATATGTCAGAGTTTAAGATCGGAGATACAACGAATTTGTAACTCAATATGCGATTTGATTTTAGTTCCAATTGATTATTATAAGTGAGTGTATTCAAGTATTATTCATATAATTGTATTAAATGTGATGATAAAGTATTTAAATAGGTATGATGTTGCCTTATAATTAGTTTCTGCAGGGTATAATTATGTAATTAAGACAGTGGAATGAAATAGTAAAGAAGATTGAATAAAGAAAAGAGAGTAAAATGTGTTTCTCATATTTTGCAAAACAGTTGCCGGCACAGTGCGTAAAATAAAAATGAGAAACAAAAATATAATTGACATGACTGAGTCTATAATTTAGCAGTGTGATTATGTTTGATACGATTAAATTTTTCTCGAGTTGATATCGTTGATAAAGTAACAAAAAAAAGCATTAATGATCGTATTACAATATTGCGATATTTCAGCGATTGTTTGTTATGACTTTTAATTATAATTTGCTAATTATTTTGGTATGGAAAGTGTATTAAGAATGATTGTGAAGACTGGAAAATGTCCAATTATTTTCCCTTACTTGTTAAGTTCATCTTAAAAGCTTTTTAGATGAAAAAATTGTTTAATTATTAAGATGAGACACGAGTGAATATAAAGTATCTTGTCTTTATCTTATTTTTACATTTGTGTTTTTATTTCCCTAACCGACTAGATACAGGGAGACGGTTTTATTACTATATAAGATGAAAGACTCAATTGTTATTACAAATAAATAATCATGAATAAAGAAATACTCGAAAATAACTTCTTTTTAGTATCCATAGCATCCTTAAATAAATTTAAATTTATTATTTACAATTTAAAAATAATTTATCCGTTCAATACCCATCTACACAAATTCTAAGATTTTAGTAAAAGCATGTCATTTAACATCTTATTCATTTTCCATTCATTCAATCATAATTCTTTCAAAATGTGTAGTGTTCATGAATATTCTCGTTGATAAAAAAACTGATATCAACTCTGATAGAAAATCAGCTACTCATCAAACATTGAATCATAAATTTAAAATTTCAATATCATCATAGAATTTAGATAATACCTGGGTCTTTCATCTTAAAATTAGTGAGATGGAAAATTCATCATAGCTATATATTATATAGATATAATTAGTGCCACTCCAGCCTTCTCTACTACTATCCTTATCTCAAAAACGTTCTTTGCTATGATAATAAAATAATTCATTTATTATCAAATGTATCATATATACATTACATACTGTTACATACTAATATAATTATTAGTAAAAATTATTGAGTAGTATTAATAATTTAATGGAATTTCTTATGCTATCATCATATAAAACTTGATATCTTATAATTAATTACAAACATAAAGAAATCATCTGAATAGTCACAAATTTAAATGGTCTATTTACTTTCATTTCCAACATAAAAATTGAAACTTTTTGAAGAATTTTAAGAAAACGAGTTTTTATTGATTAATAAATAGGTCCATCGTCAAGATTGTCTTCTTCATCATCATAACCTTCTCCATTATCGAAATAATTATTTACATAATCAGTACCATCATCCATTTCTTCATCAACTTCTGCCTCCTCATCTTCTACATTTTCGTCTGGATCTTTGTCTTCATCATCTTCATCATTATCTGCGTCTTCTTCTGCTTCATTTTCATTTGTATTTTCTTTTTTCTCAAGTTCAGCAAGTTTTTTATCAATATCAACTTCCTTTTTAATCTTTTTCGCAGTTTGTTTTAATTCTTTTAATTCCTTTGCTTTTCTTTTTGCTAGAGAAGACTTTAATTCTCTTGGCATCGAATTCCAATCACAAGACTCTTCGTATTTAACTTTGTTAGACATAATTTCTTGGTAACGATCCGAGTACCTTTCTATGTCTTTTTTAACATAACCAGACTGAACATTACTTAAAGATTCGTAAACAGTTTCAGTGAAATCTCGTTTAAGTTCTAAAAGATAAGAAAACTCAGCGGTCATCTCCGGAGGAGGTGCTTTGAATTCAAGAGGAGGATATTTTGGTGGAGGTTGAAGAACTGGAGGTGGTAAAGTTTCGCCTTTTCCAAATCCCAACTGTTCAGTGCTTATTGACATTGAGGCTCTGCCTCTTCCTCTTCCTCTATGTGCCATGATGATTGTAGATTTAATACGAACGGTAATTTATTTGATTTTTATTCAATAATCCTAAAAAATATTTTAAATATTTAATTATAAAACAATATATAAGCTGAAGAGCTAGTTTTTTGTCTTAAACATAAAAGTAAACTTAAAAGTAGAGTATAATAAATTATTCATTACATAAATTACAAAGTTGATCATGATGCAATGTTTTGCAACTCATTAAGTAAATAATGAAGTACATAAAATGATAATTAACGAACCTTATGCTATTTCCTTTTTTGCTTCTGTATATGTTTTCTTCTGTACTTCTTCGTGCTTCGCTCGAAAAACTTCTTTATCGTAAATGACTTTGACAACAAGAGAACACGAAGGACACGTTGCTTCTTCTTCACCAGCAAGTAATTCAGCTAATGAAATTTGAAAACGATCCCCACATGGACAAGGGTAATAATACATTTCTTCATCTTCATCACACTCGAAATCTTCAATTTCTACTTCGTCGTGAAAGATAGTCATACTTTTTTAATAATAATTAATCCAATCTTAAAGAGCACAACAATTTTTCGATTCTTTTTTATAGGTTAAAATACTTGTGATTAGACAAGCACGTGGTGATCAATAGGAAGTAGTAGTTCACAAAAAAAGGGAAATGGACATGATGGCGCTATGCGAATCTGCCATCTTTGGCTTCTGTCGTGTTGGATGCGTGGAGAACTCGCCTAACCTTTCAATCAGTGCAAATATTGTACAAAATGGCCAAAAAAACAACGCTAGATAAGAATAATCAAAATGAAAATACATCAAAAAACAATGACGAGAGTGTTATGAACGACAGTGCAACCGATGAAGAGCCAAATTTCAGTGATCCTGAGGGTTACGTTGACGACATCACCGATGAAGGTAGGAGTCAATTTACATGGTTACTTACGTCACTTTTCATGTTAAAATCAGCTTAAATTAACAATATTCGATTATTTAGACTAATAATTTTTCACAGCAGATAATTAATTATAATTAGGCAATATAAAATGAATATTTTAGTATGATTTAAAGGCATGGCTATGAGGGAATACCGGGAATGGTATATTACCATGCAACATAACCTGTAATTACAAAGTTGAAGCCACGCTCTTTCGGCATCTCTTGTCATTAGTCTGTAGTATGTTTGGCATTCATAATTATTGCTAAAATATTTAATTAATTTTTTCAGAACTTGTGGGAGATATATTATCACAAAAGCCATCTGAAACTGATGGAGTTGAATCGGTCATTGTGGTAGACGGTGCTCCACAAGTCGAACCAGAACGTTTGGAAAAATTTAATACATTGATTAATAAAGTATTCGGTAAATTCGGTACCATTGTTAATAAGTATTATCCGAAAAATGAAAATGGAATCACGAAAGGGTAATATTGCATTTCCGATTGTTTTTTAAAATTATTTTTTAAATCATTATAATTAGTAATATTTTTTATTGTAATTTAGATACATTTTTCTTGAATACAACAATCCACTGAACGCTGCTGCTGCAGTAAAGGCTACAAACAACTACAAGATAGACAAACAGCATACGTTTAAAGTAAACTTATTCACAGACTTCAAAAAATATGAAGAAATTCCAAAAGATTGGGAACCACCCAAGCCGCAACCTTACAAAGCAGCCCATGACTTACATTATTACCTTCTTGAACCAGATGCATATGACCAATTTAGTGTGCTTTGTGGAAATGGTGCTAATGTCGCAGTTCAAATATGGTTGAATTCAGCACCCGAACCATCTCTAGTTGAAGAACGTGCTAGGTGGACAGAAACCTATGTTAAGTGGTCACCTCTTGGAACATATTTAGCCACTTTCCACAAGCCAGGTGTAGCTCTTTGGGGTGGACCAAAATTCGAACAGCAAGCTCGGTTTAGCCAAAACGGCGTCGAATGCATAGATTTCTCACCATTGGAGAGATATCTTGTGACTTATTCACCAAGATTAGACGGCAGTGCCGATCAAAAACGTTTGGTAATATGGGATATACTTACAGGACATGAAAAACGATCCTTTTTCCCTGATGGTTCATCAGTTTGGCCAATTTTCCGTTGGTCTCATGATGATAAATACTTAGCTTGCATGGGCCCAGATATTCTTAGTGTTTATGAAACACCTTCATTTGGACTTTTAGACAAAAGAAGTATTAAAACACCTGGAATAAGAGACTTCAGTTGGTCTCCAACAGATAACGTTCTTGCTTATTGGGTTCCAGAAGATAAAGATGTTCCTGCTAGAGTCACACTTTTAGAATTACCTAATCGTAATGAAATCAGAAATAAAAATCTTTTCAACGTTGCTGATTGTAAAATCTTTTGGCAAAAATCAGGTGATTATTTGTGTGTCAAAGTTGACAGATTCGCCAAGAAAAAAGAAAAAACGGAGCAAAAGTATACAGGTATGTCGTACAACTTTGAAATCTTCCATATGCGTGAAAAACAAATCCCAGTGGATAGTGTTGAAATGAAAGAACCAATTCATGCTTTTGCCTGGGAACCAGTCGGTAGTAAGTTTGCTATCATACACGGTGAAATACCCAGTGTAAATGTAAGCTTCTATGAAGTGAGATTCGGACATCAACCAGCATTATTGAAAAAATTGAGCAAGAAAGCGTGCAATCATTTATTCTGGTCTCCAGCTGGACAGTTTATCGTGTTAGCAGGATTAACAACAATGGCTGGAGCTTTGGAGTTTATAGATACAAATGATTTCACGATCATGAATTCAACAGACCATTACCAAACATCTGATGTCGAATGGGATCCTACTGGAAGATACGTCGTCACGGCTGTTTCTAATTGGAAAACAAATGTGGACAACGGCTACTGGATATGGACATTCCAAGGTCGTATTCTAAAACGGGTTAACTTAAATGCCTTCAATCAATTGCTGTGGAGACCTAGACCACCAACACTTTTAACACCGGAACAAATAAAGGAAATAAAGAAAAATCTTAAGAGGTATTCTGCTCAATTTGAAAGCAAAGATCGAATGCGATTAACGAGAGCATCCAAAGAGCTCATTGATAAACGTTGTACTCTCATGAAATCATTTAATGAATTCCGTGATAAACGTATGCAAGAGTGGAATAGCCAGAAGAAACGTCGTTTGGAGTTGAGATATAATATAGATACCGATGAATTAGATTCAGATACTAAAAATGTTGAGGAAGAGGTCGTTGAGTTCTTTGTTAAAGAAGAAGTTTTCCCAATGGAAGAAAAATAATTAATTTAATGTGTCAAGGCATTAGTATAACCGCAAACATGTGCTCTTTACTTTATTCAATTTTGTTATTGAATATTTTTTATGAAATCTTTGTGAAACATTTTTATGTAATGCCCAAGAAAATACAAATGATACAATTCATTTCAATCAATGCATCATTAACTTCAACCATGTGCCGAATAAAATATAACAAATTAATGAAAATAATTTGTCTATAACTTTTATATACATTTACAGATTTATTTATAATTTATTAATAACTTAGAATAATGTTAAAAATAATATCGGAATAAAAATACTGCTGCATATACCCAGTTTGGTATCGACTTCTCATACTGAGAAAATGATTCTCTTTTCACCGGTTGAGCATACTTTCGTAAACGATCGTATTCTTCTTGTAAACAATTTTGGAGTTTTGCATTCCTCGTTATTAAAACAAGTTGAGTTTCTAAATCTCGATGAACTGACCTGTAACCTATATTTAAAGATATAATATTGGAATATATTTCTTCAATCAAATTTGTCTTACCAAAATTAGAAGAACCAATTAAGGTGAGAGATGGCTTCTGTTCATTAGGTAGAGTATACCAGAGACCTTTGGCATGATATGTCCATCCAGGACGAATATATTCTTCAAGTTTGATTCTATTGTTTAAGTTCATTCGTTCGCAAGAATCAAAAAATGATTTTTCAATTATTGTATATGCTGCTGGAATTTGACCAGCAATTCCTTTTGCACCTTTAAAAGAAAAAAAATAACTTGATTCAAGAAAAGATCAAAATCTGATGATCGATAACTCACCATAAAATCCATTTGCTGTGGGATGAGCTGTAAGGAGATTGCAAGATGCTTTGCAATCATTCAATAAAGCATTAGAGTATTCTTTTGTTAAATTAAAATATCCAGTAGCGAATTGTAAAATAGATTTTTCAGGTGCAGTTTTAAGTAGCTTTTGCGTAATTTGACATTCATAAAAAATTTCTAGTTGACCCATTTGAATTAATGGGAAGATCCATGTATCTAATGATTTATTATTGTATCCATTTAGAAGTTTGTGTTGACTATCGTGTGATTTTTTAATTTCATTGGTATAGAAAGTTGTTAATTCATTTCTTGCTAATTCAATAAAAGTCGTGTTTTGTACTACAGTAGTCTTTAGAGTATTTTGGTCATTTGATTTTGTTGTACTGTTAAATAAAATTGGTGCTACTAGTTTATTGTCAGGTAAGAGTTGAAAACTAAATTTTGCAACGAGGCTTATTAGTTTATAATAAAAATCGCTGAGTTCTTTACAGTCTTCGATAAGAAAATAGCGATCTTGTCGGTTGACGAAGTAATCATTACTCAAATTTGCCCTAATGAAAATACAAAAATATTATTCATAGCTAATCATCGAATGAAATAAAGTAAAATTATATTTAATATTAAATATATTTAATTATTGATTTACCCACTAATAATGACAGAATCATCAAAAATGTAAATTTTCATATGTTGTAATCCAATTAATTCATTGAATCGATTTGGAAGTATCAGTTTTAGTAGTCCTTTCAACTTTGGAGTATGATACAACGATATGGAACAACTATCAACATATTTATTCTTTAATAATGGTTCTAGCATTTTCACAGAATTAGTTTGTCCACGTGTACCTCGCATGTAGTCTAAAAGAATATTTACTTTGACTTTACCATTGCTGTTTACCAATGACTGTTCTATTGCTTTAATCTATTGAGATTGATATCATTATTAGTTAGAATTCTTCAATACATACAAATAAAATGAAACTATTGAAATTTTATTCATTATACTAACTAAATTTTTTTCCAATTCTCCTGTTCCTATATACAATGAGCCTAAAATTATTCTCTGTCGTACATTTTTAGCTTTCTCCAGCAATATTGAATAGAAATCTGTTGGTTCATGAATTATTTGAACCTGTGAAAAATTTTATTTATCACCAATTTATTTCAATGTTTTTGAAAAATTTTAAATTGCAAATAGGAATAATAAGAATTTTATTCACATACTTTTGATGAATCGATTAAAAATCCTGGAGCTTTTTCTTGTAACCATGAGAAACGATCAACAATAAGTTGCTTCATAGTATTATTTCTTACATTTATTGAAAAACTGTTGGCAGTCTTCATTTTATTTCTTACGATTCTTATCGTTTTCTGGATTGGAGTAACTTTTGGACAGGTACTGTAACTATAAACGTGTTGCCATAAAAAAGATTTGATCACCATTTTTTTACATAAATGTGTATATGTTGATAAGTCATAAATATCTATAGAGTAATTGTCAGATAAAAGTTGAATGACACATGAGAATCAATCATGTTCATTCATATGACGATCGAAAATTACATCAACAAATGATAATAAGTTTCAGTTATGAAATTGATTTTAATCAATAATGGAGTATTTTTGTTTAAAAAATAGTTGTATAAAATTAAAACAATATGACGCACAAAACCCCCGCCATTTTATTTAGTTCAATATTTATCTGATCATGGCAGCACCAACGAACAGATAACTGTTGGCGGGTTTTACAGAGAAAACGTTTATAATTCCTTCGCGTAAACAATCAATCAATTTCAGAACGATTTGACGTAACAATAAAAAAATTAAAATTTGAATCAATCTTTTCTCTGGTAAGACAGTATTCTTTGGCCCAAGCTTGAAAAATTCTAGTTCGGAAAATTAATGTAAAAGAAAAATTATACCTGCAGTCGGTAATTGCTCATCAGGGATACACCAGGCATCAATGAAGCCGAGTGTATAAGCACCCTAATGCTGCTTCCATTTCGTGAATTTCATCCATAACGGAGTTCATAACGATAGTAGTAACTGTAAAGTTTTGGCGCCAACAAGCTTTTGGACGTTATTCTTTTTTTCCACCGAAATAAATGTTAAAAAAGTAAGTTCTTTAGAAATATTATAATAGTAGATTTATTAAAAAAATTATCTAGCATTATATTTTTGGAGTACGTAATTTAGTTTGTGATTAACTAACCTAATCTATATGAACATTTTAGTGCCGCCAAGAAAAGGAGTAAAACGTGCTGCTTCAACTTTAAATGAGGATACAAAAAAGCCTAAACAAATAAAAAAGAAAATAGGTAACTCCAAAATGTTTTCAAACTACTTTTTTTTTATACTTTCATTCATTTTAATTGAATATTTCCATGTAACATGTATCATCTAAACTTAGGTTAGGAATCATATTTTTCAGACCATTTATATAATAATTCTGTAACAGACTTGGAAATAAAACCTGACCTACGAAATGTGGATACTGGTGGAGTGATTTTATCATTTGGTCAAGGAGATGTTGGACAGTTAGGCTTAGGAGAAGATGTTATGGAAAAAATGCGACCAGCAGTGATACCTGGATACTCTGATGTGATAGCTATTGCTGCTGGTGGAATGCATAATGTATGTTTATTGAAGTCTGGTAAAATTATATCATTTGGATGTAATGATGAAGGAGCATTAGGTAGAGATACATCAAAAGAAGGATCAGAATCAGTACCAGGTTTTGTAAATTTAGACGACAAAGTTGTTCAAATAACTGCTGGAGATTCTCACAGTGCTGCTTTATTGAGTGATGGAAGAGTATTTGCTTGGGGATCATTCAGGGTATGTTTTTCACTGATATTTTAGATAATATAAAAGTTTTATTGATAGAAATATTAAATCTTATAATTTATATTTAAGGATTCACATGGAACTATGGGTTTGACAATTAAAGGAAATGAACGTGAACCCGTTGAAGTATTACCAGGAATCAAAATAGTAAAAATAGCATCAGGAGCTGATCATTTAGTAATGCTTACTGAAGAAGGACGAATTTATACATGTGGATGTGGAGAGCAGGGACAACTTGGAAGAGTTGCCCCTAGATCCGCTGATAGACATAATCGTCATGGAATGGATAATTTATTAAAACCAGGTCTCATTGAATTTAAAGTTACGAAAAAATTACAATTTAATGACATTTGGGCTGGACAATATTGTACATTTGCTAGAGAGGTTAGCAAAGGAGATATTTATGTATGTGGATTAAATAACTATCATCAAATAGGTAAATCTAGAATACTGTTTATTAAAAATAATGAAATTTTCAATTATAGTGACACATTTATTTATCATCTGTTTCGTTTTTAGGTCTCAAAGACACTATAGCTTACTATCATCCAAAAGTATCAAAAACTTTTAATGACAGAGACTGGATACACATCAGTAGTGGCCAACATCATACCCTTGCCCTTGATACTGATGGTGACGTTTATGTTATGGGACGTAAAGAATATGGAAGACTTGGTTTAGGACCAGAGTGTACGGATGCTAATTCTCTGGTACGAATAGATAGTTTAGTGACAGAAAACGTGATCGATATTGCTGCTGGTAATGCGCAATCCTTTGCAGTCACGGAAAGTGGTAAGAAAATTAAAATACATTGTAAAAAATTTGAAACCTCTGTCAGAAAATTAAATTATTTATTATTTTTTCAGGTAAGTTATTTGCGTGGGGAATGGGCAGTAGCGGCCAATTAGGAACCGGTGAAGAAGACGATGTTGATGCTCCAATGTTGATAAAAAGTAAACAGTTAGAAGGAAAACAAGCTATTAGAGTTGCTGGTGGTGGCCAGCATACACTAATACTTGCATTGAATCGTCCGCAAGAAAACAATGTTGATTAATAAATAATCGTTCACTAATCGAATTGAAGTGCCACACTAGTAATGAAATTTATGAAAAACAAAGAAAATAATGCGTTGCAACATGCAATTTTCCACATTTTCTTGAAGATCGTGGCTTAACTAGCAAATTCAACTTCCAAAACAATGCGTTGATGTAAATCATATGCAAGCTTTGTGTAAATAAGTTAAGTTTGTGTTTGATTTGTTTTTCATCTCATGAAATATTTAAAATATTTTCTACTCGATTATAAAAAATGTTTTTAGCGAATATTTCAATTATGAATTGTTTATTAAATTTTCCATCAATAAATGTCGAGTAGAGATTATTTAAATCGTGTGTTACTGTTACGATTATATAATTTCTAATTAAAAGTTAAGTTTTAATTATTTAATTTTGTACCTAAATCAATTCATTTCTGGTTGTAATTTTTTGATCATTTACAACTTACATAACATAAAATTATTTAATTACTACAGTTGTTTTAAGTGAAACATTTGTTCATTATTTATAAATCAATGGTGTCTATAAAATAAAAGTTTGTAATTTTTCATGAATTTAATGAAACCAATTTCTACAAAGTAAACTTTTATTTTTATAATTTGTACTAAATACAAACATATCTACATTTAAATTGTTTTTGGTTAAAACTAAGATACATTTACAGGAAAAAACTTTAGAGAATAATGAAAAAAATTAGTTATTTATGTTATATCATCAGAAATGCTTTCATTCTATAATTATTAGTCTATTTTCATGATGGTGTAGGTGAGTTGACGGTATTCTGATGTTCATTCATAGAAATTTGTGTAAGCTTTTTACCAATTTTTTCATGGACATCAAGATATTTAGCTACACATCGATCTATACAAACAGATTCTCCTTTTCCCAAATCTGGTTCTGCATATTTGGGTAAAATGCACTTCTTGTGGCATGCTGATGTCATTCTATTATACATATCTGACATCATCTCAATCTCCAATTCTTGAACTAATTTTAATTTAGCTTCATCTAATTGAGGTAATCCCGCCATTGTATCTTAACAATTATATTTCTTATTATTAATATACTTTTTTTAATCCACTTTCCAATATTATTTATGCTGTTTATTAATTTTTGCCAAGTTTTGCCTTTCTCCGTTCTTGCATCAGAGCACGACGTTGGTTATCAATTGATTTCTTTGCGAAATAAAATGAAGTCAATGCTACAACTGTACAGGCAATCCTATAATATTTAAAAAAATGTATTTATGATGAATACATAATGTGCCATTAACAATTTAGGGAATTTAAAGCATTTGAGGTATTGAAATGCTGATATTTGAAGGTTAGAATATCAAAGAATAGAAGATTAAAGTTATGTTTACACAATTTAATCTGATTTTACTTGCAAAAATAATTACATACCTACCATCCAGTCATAATTTTAGAAAACTTTGTTACGAACATGATTTATTTATATATTTATAAATATTTAAACATTAGATAAACTTCTGACCGATACTGCTGGAAAGAGAATACATGTGCTTCTCTGAAAATTTTCACGTATTTCATCATACTCAAAAATATATATTTTAAGTGAAATACATTTAGATATGTAAATTTTAATTACTAAAATAATTAATTGAGTATATTTTTGATGATTGGACACGTAAAATCATTTTTTTGATTAATTTTTATTTGAAATATACACTGAGTGAGAAAGAAAAAAATGTTTTTTAAAAAACCCCGCGTGAATTTTTACGACGTCATTGTTTCCATGGTAATCAACAAACCGGAGTTCAACAGTTAGCGGATTAAAATGTGTTAATTTCTTTATTTTATAGTGTGAGAAACGTTGTTATTTAATGCTGTCATGGCTTATTTAGCTGAATTATCTTGTAAATATCAATTATCTTAACATTTTTAGATAATAATTCAATAAAATTCTCATTGAAGATCATTGTTATTTGAATTGATTATAATTTATTTTTTTGTAGGTTAAATATGGAAATTTATTCTTTATTTTAATGCTTTGATGATACAAAAGATCCAGTTTTATAACAATACTGGTGAGTTTTTATTTAATTTGTATTTTATTTTATTATGAATCTATATAACATCATTATTATTTCTAAAATGGATAACCATTGTCTAATAAAAGTAGTTTAGGAGCAAGTATTATCACCTAATTTTTGAAAGGTAAACAAAAGAAGCATTTTTACGTAAAAACGAACACCGCGTCGATCGAAATTAGTAAAACAACAAACAATGTTTTGCATTTTGAAAGTAAGGGGAGCTAACAACCACTCCCATTTGCCAAGTACGTGATTCGTGCGAAAACAAAGATCTGGACGAGGAGAGAAGTGGTGAAAATTCAAGAGGGAGTAAATTCAACAGGGAAACTCCACAAGAGGAAAGGCATTAGATAGTCGAAACAAGGGGTGAGATAGGAGTGAACGTCAGTTGCGAATTTCGCGCACGAGATCTACGCAGATACATGAACTATATACGATAGTTCAACGACCACCGCCCTGTTCTCGGCCAACCCTAACACGTTCCAGGACTTGAGGGGGTGGCAGGGAGGAAGTAGACCGCGTATGCATCACCCAGATCGTGCAGAGGGCACCACGGTTTGCCACATAAAAAATTGAGCCAACCAGAGAGAGTGAGAGAGATGGATAGAATGAAGGGAGGATGAAGCCACCCCCTTGGTCGTTGTCGAGAAGTAGCAGCATCGAGCCCAGTTCTGTCGAGATCTGGTATAGAAGCTACTGGCCGCTTGTCTGCTCCCTTCTTTCGCTAGTTTCATTTATTTCCGTTTTAGTTCATTTTTGATTCCATTACGAATTCGTTCAATTCCATTCGTGTTGATTATAGAATCATCACCGGCACGAGTTACACCAACAACCGGCGTGCGTTTTATCGCATCAAACAACCGGCCACTTCTTTGTGCCGCTATAGATTTGTTACACAATACTAGTAGCATAAGTAGTAGCGCTTATAAATAGAGTGTATATATAGCTGAGATTAACTGATTAACCCTTTACCCTTCCAAAGAGGGTGTTGGAGATCGCGAGAGTTAGAGCAGGTGTAAATTGCTGCATCTACACTATCTGCACGTGCCCACCAGGAATTTCTACGTTTTTATTGAGGTATGCCCAATATTTTACTTAAATATTTTCTTTATTATTTATCATCAACTCTTTTGCTCTTTTATCTTTATTTTGTATCACTTAATGAAGCGGTTTTTTTGTAAACCAATACTTTTTACTATTTTCGGAGTAATAAAAATGGAAAAACACGCGGGAGATTAAATCTCAGACAAAAGAATATATAACTAGTAAACGAAAACTTGGAAGGGGTGGAGCTGAGAGTATTTTATAATCTTGAATTAATATTCCCCTTTAAAGGCGTGGCAATCTCTAAATCCAAAAATAAAGTAATGAATTAATCCAAGAGGAATTATAATTTACGATAATATCATTTGTTCTAGCTCTTACTAGATAAACTTTATCCTTTTAAAAGGATTAAAATAAAGTTTCAAACTGTCTGCATAAATACCAACAATGTTTAATACGACACTTGAAGTTTGAATATTCTTTATTATTAACATCATTAGCACCAAACATAAAAGAGTTGTTATAACAAATATGATTAAAAGCCATTATCGTTTCAACCGGTAATGTCGTTCTGGAGATTTTCTCGCAATTTTAGCTTTATTTCTACCAGTAGCGAGGTCTAAACCGCCTCGAGTCAGCTGATTAAAATCGATAATAGCTAGACGTGGTTCTGCAGGATGCTCTGTGATCATCAAATTATCAGTCTTGATGGCATTGACCGGTGCTCCAGGACTTCGATACCTGTAGCTAGGATTTTTTCCACCATGTCCAATGACACTTCCTGGTCCAGGTGTAATATTCATTCGTGTTCCACTCATTGATCGAAATCTAGCATCAGCCGGCAATTCAGGAAAATCCTCAGTGAAATATCTGCAAGTTGATGTATTAAATAATTCCTCAACATAAATCTCTATTCGGCTGAAATAAACAGATAAATTTTAGTGATCATTTAGAGGGAGGATTTATTCAAACCAAAATAGCAAGATAGCATTAAAGCCGATTGTCAAATTGGAGATTGATTACAAGTGAAAAGGATTGGAGGAAGCAGAGAGATATGCTCGAAAGTGCAGGGGAAAATTGATGGTTTACTCGTGGATGCTGGCAAGATGCAAAGGCGCAGGCGTTCTAGCTGTCCGGGGTCGTGGATCCCGGGGTTGCCGATGCCTCTGTCTGGACTGACGTCCCCGCTTATTCGACGGCTGGTCTGGCAGTCCCGAGGGTATCAATCCTGTCAACTTGTAGTATTCCAAGAGAGAACGAGCTAAATTCCTTCCTACTCTGTAATCTAGCATTCCCCAGCTGATGGTCAAGGTTTTTTCATTGTAATCCTTCATTTTCAGAGGATTTCAATAATTTAAAATTCGATAATAAAAAAGGATACAACTCTCTTCAGTGTAGGGAAGCAAACCAGGTGATCCTTTTCGGTAATAGCCATACATTGACACTTGAATTGTATAACAATTAACGTGTTCACTGAGAATTGAACATAAAAAACGCCTTGCTGTTCCACCTTTATGAGGATCTTGGTTGTACATAGTATTATCAAGATTGTAGTCTTCTGTGTATTGAGCTAGGAGCTTTGGTAGGACGATGTGACGTTCGTACCTGAAAAGCTAGCAGCTCTAGTTTAGAAAACCTTGATAATTATCATCATCTTTATTAAAATATTAATACAAATTTCTCTGTTTCATGTTATATATGAATGTATATTCCATTACGATGATATGTATTGCAATCATAATAGCTATTAATATAATTTTTTTTAACCATAGTCTTTACATAATATCTAGATAAATAAAAGTAGCTGTTATTTTAAGATTCCTGATATAAAAGTTTAGACTTTGTTAATCGATTAATTTTAACTTCAGCAACATTTTCAATAATACTTCATTCAGAATGTCCAACTTCAGTTGGATTAGTTACGAAAATAAATGTATTTATAAAAATTTAATCAAGTTTTTTGCTCCAAAAAATTCCTCTGTAAAAAAACCTCCAACTTTATTTGACATTTTTGTAAATAAAAAAATGTGAGATGAAATAATAATTGAAAGCACAAAATGTAAATACTATTGAATTACAAACTCGAAAATAATATATTCTGTTTTTTTTTTTCTCTTATAAATATTCTGTACTAGAGTTCTAGAAAGCCTGAATAAATAAAATACACGCGATAATATTGTTCTACTTGATTTGATATTTTTGTTATAACAAAAAAAAGTGAATAAAGATAGACATCAACAAAATAACAAACTATATTTCGAGATTATTATTGAATGTAAAGAATGAAATAAAGGCTTAAAGAAAAACTAATGTTTTAATAAGTTGATATAAATGTTTCTCTTATCAGTAATCAACTTTAGTTAAAATGTAAATCTTTTCATAAAGTGTTCGTGATAATTCAAACTATATTAAGTTTTCTTTGCATAAAAATTAACTATACTGATTAGATTTAATTTTCCTTTTACCTTCTGCAATTCAGAATAACTAGTGTATTTGGAAAAAAAATTTAATTTAACAAAATTGCTTTGCAGAATGAGTCGATAAAAACCATTTAGTTTTGTAATTACCACCTCAATAAGAGAGAACATTTTTTTTATTAGCTATTCCAATAAAAACCACTAGATTTTCAATTAGAATTCTAAAAATATCATGATGTTGACTTTATCTAAAATTATTAAATAAAGAAATTTCTAAGATACAACTCTGCAAGCCATCAATAGCAAGTAATTTGTTACTGTCAATTTATATCACTATTTTATTACATAAATAATAAAAAAAAAACTTTTTTTGTTATAACTGTGTCCAAGTTTCAATAAAATATAGCTTTTTTACTGATTAAAAATCAATCTTCATTAAACATTGATTGCACTGGCTTTGAATAGACTATAATTTTTAAATTCTTATAAGTTCCAATCATTCTATAGAATTGATTACAAAAAATAATTTAATCTTCATGAAAGAGGTTGCTTTAAATTGTTATAATTTATAGTGAATGCTCCAAAAAATTATTATTCTTATCACTGTGCTCCAAAATATCATATTTCTAATGTGCTCTAAAAATATTCATAAACTATTTTCTACAATAAAAGATTTTATTGAATCAGATCCAATCTCACCTGTAAACATCATCATATGTATTTCCATACACGAACAAACCAGTAGCGTTGGTATGAGCGTGTAAATCAAGCACACAGTCCAATGGCATATTTGCATTTTTATCAAGAGATTCCAGCAAAGTCCGTGTAGCTAATAGAGTTGGATGGATCCACTCTGAAATTCGATTCCAGGCTCGATTCAGATCCACTCCCATCAACGTTGATCTAATAAACAAAGCAAAGATTATTTCATCAGAGATTTGCTGCATCCTATGTTCAACTTTTTCAATTTAACTCAAGTTTTATGAAACGAAACTTACCTGTAGTTACCTAGATAAACTCCATCAGGGTTGAGCATTGGAATGATCTTGAAGACAACATAATCTCTGAGGACTTGAGCAATAGGATGTGCACTTACCAAAAAGTCCATTAATCCTTGACAAACAAAAGAGGATGGAGATTCCCCAGGGTGAACTCTGCTGAGAACAGCCACAACTTTCTTCGGACGGTCTTCACTATTAGATCCAATTGTTACCAATTCAAGCTTTCTCTTCTGAATTGATGATGCTAAAGTCTCTCGCTTTACTGATGCACACTTGGCACAAAGGTTATCTAAATGTCCCAGATATCGAGTGTAAGAGTAAGGATAACTTAAAGCAAATTGGTACACTTGATCCTCTCGATCAAAGTTAAAAGCAAATGTTAGGACATGATGATTCTGATGCTGTGGTGATTTATAATAGTATACTTGTCTTCTTGGTATCCTTTGCCATTTAGGATTATTTGTGCTTTTGACTAGAGGTGTCATTCCATCTCTGAATAAATTTCTACTTTTGGATATGTTGACGATGTTGAATAGAACACGTTGATCGGCACGAACATTATCAACAGTAAAGTTGAACCAAAATCTCAATCGAGGGCTACATGTATCAGGTCTAATGAACAGATCATATTCGTACTCTGAAATTAGATCTACCCGACCTAAGTTTCCGGTTTCAAAGGACGCATCAAAGCACAAGTGACCTTTTTTCGCTTTACCACTGTGTCCTGGTGGGCGTATGATCAGTCTGCTAACGTTACCAAGACCTCCCTCTGCATCACTGTCATCACTGTCTGTGGAAGATAATTTTTAGTCAACATTAAGTAGTTTGATGCTGATGCTTGCTATGTAGTTTCGGTATTAGATGCTATAATTAGAAAAATAAAGGAAGTGGTGTTGAATTTGATCAAACAGACTCTGTCACGTGAGAATAATTTCTCGAAATGCAATTCGTTCTACAGAACTAAATACTTAAAAGGGAGAGTACACATAGGGATCAACTACCTACTCGGTTGAATGGAAGAGAAGACAAGGACCACATGCAAAAGTGGATTAAATGTGCTGAAGAATAATTGCTTTACCGACACACGACAGAGTCTGTATAGAGTTTTGTCACGGCAAAAAGGGAGTTTGGCTTCACCCCAAATTGACGGTAACTTTTGTAGAAATTTAACAGACGAGAAAAAATTACTAGATATGAATTTTGAGTGTTGACTTATTGGTCATAGGTGTGTAGACTTTTCAACACCATAATATTCATTTATACTTTAATTAAAAATTTTACAAATGATAAAAATAAAATAACAATCTAACCAGCTTTATTATAAAGACTAGTATGTTCAAGAGGATCACGATGTTCAAACATTTTTATTGAAAATTTCTATTAAATGATAAACACAGAAATGTATCACCAACTCGCGGAAAATACGAAGCAAGACTGATAGTCAGAACTGGAAGTCGACCTTTGGAAACTCCTTCCTCACACGTTAGTGCACCAACCTACGTGCAACACTCGCAGTTGAGGATCGCGTTTCGGTCAATCTTCACTACGTCGCTCACAGTTCGTGTTTGTGTTTGACACCTTTCTACTTGGCAACATGAAATTTCTGACATGCTTCCGACAACTGTTATTCCATTCAAATTCACCTTCATTCTAATAATTGATCTAATTTAACGCATAAATACATGCATAATCGTTGAGCAATTTCAACGGTAATTGAATTGTTCAATTTTAATAAAAATAAATAAAATACATAATTAATTAAATTAAAAAATAAATAAATAACAAAAAATTAATTGTTTATTTTTTTATCAAACTAGTTTTTTTTTTTTAAAAAACGTTATAAATATTTTAATATTATCGGAAATATTTTTAAAAATAGTTATTTATAATAAAAGTTAAAATTTATTTTATTGTAGAAATAAATAGCTTACAATAATATTGGAAAAAAATTTATTAAAGCATGAAAGAGAGTTTGGTAAAAAAGCGATTATGAAGGAAACCTGTTGAAAAAATTTCTTTATTAAATAAGCTGATTAAATTTGATTTAGTAGATCTCATAGAACAAGACTTAATTGACCCCGATCGTTGATAGAATAGCTCTTCTTTACTCGAGGCAATTGAAAGCCATTCCGTGATGTCATGCAACTTCGTTCATGATCGTGTTACTCGAACGATCCTCCGTCACTTATTTCTGTGCTATTTGGGAATTCTTAGATAGCCGAGATATATCCTTGCGTGAACAATGCCGCCAACAGCATAAAAATTCAGATTATCGTTTTATTTTTATTGTAGAAGAGATACTTTTATATTTAATTATATTTCATGTCGATTTTTTCTCTCACCTCTTGACAGTCTAGAGTGTCATTCAATTGATTCAATAATTTTAATCAAGAGATAAAAATAATTCTTCTGGAATATTTAAAATAATTTTTTTTTTATTTAATAAAATCACATTTAAATTGAAATAAATTCTTTCCCCTAGAGAATTAAATTTTTTGTTTTAATAAAAAAATAGATCTCTAAGGATTTGTCGAGGTGATATGATTGAAAGAGAATTAGTAAAAGTTGAAATCAAACAAGTCATCAAACTTTCTCTTGAATTCGATAAAATCGCAATTTAAATAACGTAATTTGTGTTCTACATAATTTTTCTTTTTGTTTAAATTTATTTTTATAAGCTTTTCCATCTTCTCTTGCATCGTACAAGTTATAGCTCGTTATCGAATTCGATGTTTGAGCTTGATGAGTTTTCTAAAAAGCAATAAATAGGAACTCTGGAATTGGAGAAAAGTTTTTATGAGCCTTTAAATACACTAGTGTCTATACAAACTATATCTATAATTTTCACCGAGTGAAATATATTTATTTTTTTTTAGTAATTAACAAGAGGTGAGATAGAAGGTCGAAAATTTATATTGAGAGCAATTTTATGTACACTAATAATCAGGGTATTATTTAGAGGTGAACAGAAGTGTGTATACCTTGTGAATAATAATACGCATGGACGAGTCCCTTCATCATTATCTTTTATTCGTCAAATTCGCAAGACAATCACAAAGAGAGAGGGATAAAATAATGATGTTAATAAAAAAAATCTCTGGAACCTCAAAAGAAATGTCTTTTAAATAAAAAAACTATTTTTTTTTTTAGTTAAAATGATATTCAAAATCATCAAAATTTTTCAGCTCATTGAACAGAGAAATGAAATAGTAAATGCATAATTTGCATTTAATGCAATCACCTGCAGAGGGCGATCGACTGCAGTCTTGCAAATAATGATTTCAAATTATCGACCCTCAACAGAGGTGTTGAAATTCATATTACGAAGGTTGATTTGTGGAAGGGAAAATATTCAAAGTCTTGCGTGATTGGTTTTCTCACAGAAGTGTTGGATTTTATTCACATCGACATGGATATTTGATCAAATGTAAAATTCACATATGAGAGAGAATTGAGAAAATATACATAATATTTTCATAGTAATATTGCAATAACAGTCTCTGTACATTTCGTGACTGCGCAAATAAACCAATCTACAATTCTAGTCTCGTGTCATCATGATGCTAGAACATTTCAGCGTCTCACTTTTCACGATTGCCTGCAGTCATGTATGACAATAACGCGTTTTCAAGCTAAGAATGATGGTTGAATCAGTGTTTATTTATATTTTTGACAATAAAAGATATAGAAATATGTAGAAAAAATATTACGTACCAGAATCAGCGTCTGACATTTTCAAAGTATCACAAAGGATCAACTAAAGGCTTAACAAGAAAGAACGTTCAACTTGGCGACACTTTGGCTACTCTCTTATCTACCCCTGCCCTGTTTCCTAGGGTTTGTTGAATCGATATACGTACATTTGTGACTGAATTAACTGAAGAATTTATGAAAATATATTTCCATATCTTGTCAACTACTTTTTATTAATTTTTTATCATCTAGTGAATTAAATTCATTTTCGTTCTAAATATTTTATTTTCATTTTATTCAAGCAGAAATATTTTCTTATCAATGCATTATAAAGTAATTTTAATGATGCAGAAATATATTTTTGGAAGCATGAATAATTTACTTTGAGTGAATAAAATTATGATTATTTAATTATATTAAATTATTGCTGATGGTTGATAAATTATATCTTGACATTTATCATAAATGTTGCTTCTTTGAAAGAACTTTAAGAAACTTAGCTCTTTAAAAGCTTCTTGTTGCAAAAGGAGTCATATTAACAGAATAAATCCTCAGCAACTTTTGTAAGTGTCTATATTAGATCCTTCAGGTCGAGTTCATTTAATAGAGATAAGATTTTGTAAAGCTAAAAGTCGTCTTTTAAACAGAATAAATTCGAGTAAATTTAACATAAATTAAAAGTTTGAAAAAGAATACGTAAGTTTGCTTAAAATATTCTTGTTAAAATTGCAGTCTTCATGAAGTATTTCTTCATCATAATTTCACCATCAATTAACTGATGTTTGAGTAAATAGTGAGCAACATTTACCAGTAAAACCAATAAAAATAAAATTATATTATAGATGTAACAGTACATTTTATGATTCATCATTTGAAACTCAACTCGTTGGAAAATTGGAAATAAGAGAAATGTCTGATATAGAGTTGGTGTAGGATTGATATTCTCCAAGGTATTCCAACATGATAATGTTGGTGGAGATCTACCTATTTCTGAATGATTTAATATTTGCTTAAAGAGTTTTATAAACTTCTTAAATACTTTTTGTACATTTTATCTTCTATTTATTGAACATTTCTACTGGAGTATATATTCGAATTTTTATGGTCCTCAACATCAATCCTCCAGACTGAAGAAACTTCAATCTCTTACAGTGCAGAAACATTTATCCAATTGAACAGATGTTCCAGTGAACTGCACCTTTCTTTAGAAATTTTTTCTACTTTACGATCATGGATGTTTTTTCATAAATTTTTTTTTTCTAATTTTTTAAACTTACTTTATCGCTTAGGACTGCATCGATAAATTCTTCTTTAAGTTATTTTTCTTCAACTTTATACTCTTTCTTTCTTACAACTCATCTAAAAGTCTCAAGAAAAATTATAGCCATCAATAAATATTCATCGTTTTACCTATTTCTCGTACAGTTACTATAATAGAGAAGAAAAAAAGTGAAGTCTTTTCTGCTAGCCTTTGTAGCAAGTTGATGATTGTACCAGAGTTGTAAAAAAATTCTTGTGACATTTTTCATTAAAATTTATTTCATTAATGTAAAGTCTTTGTTATTATTATTATTATTCTGATTATTGGATACTATCAATTGTATTTTTATTGAGATATTTTTCATTTATAAACACAACAAAGATGAAAAGTGGAACAGAATATATATGTCTGCCCCAACATGTATTTTTCTACTTCAGCACATTTTATATTACAGAAGCATTGATTATTTACTCTTGTTCTTATTTCTCTGCAAGCTTTTTTTTTTGTTTTAAACCGTACACTTGAGAATATCATTACTAACCTTTAGTTTATAATAGTCGAGAATGCTAAAATACCGTCCAAGACAAAAGTTAAACTTTGTATAATGTATTAATTCCTCAAGAGTTTCGTTGAAATCTGCTTTGTTTGAGAGTCTATTGTCTTTTTTTAGTCTCAGTAAATTTTATCGTGCATTACTCTCTCTCAAGTCGTGTATTTTGGGCTAAATCTGAGGGTCTGTTTAAGAAGGGTAGAAAATTTTTTCAAAGGGTTATCATAACAAGGGGATAACAATTCAGTTATAAATATTTTCCTGCCAGTATCTCTAACATCTTCTTGGCAGTTTAAATTAATGGAAATAATTAAATTAAATTGATATTAGGGGATTTGTTGGAATAATAATTTTTGCAACAATATCAAGACAACGCATGCGTTAGTGAATCAGCGCGCCAAGTCAGGGTGTGTTGTGCGATGGAGAATGGATACCCAACGCTCTTGGCTAACCAAAGACCTGAAGAAGGGATGATGATGGTGTAGTTGTTGATGTTGGGGGGTTGGTACATTTGCAAACTATAGTCAGGAGTGTAAGAAATAGAAAAAAATGATGCAAAAAAAGGCATGTACTCGTGTAGGTGGTTGGTTGGGAATAGGGAGGAAGGAAAAGCAAGTGAGAGAATCGTTAGACTGAATGATTGTAAGAGTATGCGAACGATCGATAATCGAAATACCCCTACTTATACTGCTACGAGACGCTTCTTCTATCTCTCTTTACACCCTCTATTGCGACTCCACCCATCTGTACTTGACATGACAGTGGCGTAGCAAGATGATATTACCACATGAAAATTCCACTAGAGAGATATCGAAAGATTACTCAAGAAAAATATTTCTTTGTCCTTGAATTAGAATTTTTTTTACGTTTTCTTCATGATTTTTAAAGCATATTATTATGTTCGAACATAGATGGATGTGCGTACGTACAATTATACGTACGTATGTCAGGTTTTTTTTTTGTTATTTTCAATATCTCAAGAACCACTGGAGATATCGAATCCGGACAAATGTTATTCGAAAGATAATACAATACAGAAAATTTGGAAAGAGTTTGAGCAAATTCGGCACAGTCGTTTTTTTTTAATAACAAAAGGAGTGTAAAATAAATTAAGTAAAGAAGACATTAAAAATAGTTTCTACTTATTCTTCTCATATTTAATTGATGAGTTACAAACAAATATTTAAATTGTAATAAAATAAAAAATGGTTTTAACAGTAGAGGTTTATTGCAATCAAAATAAATATTTTTGTGTACAAAAAAATTTTTCAATGGAATTATTAGATACCGTTTTGAGCTGAAGTTAGGATTGTAGAAAAGCATTTACTCAAATTCGATAAGACCATTTGGTATAAAAAGCTTTCAGCATTCCAAGAAAAAAAAAATTCATGAAATTACTAGACGTCTCTTGGTCTGAAAGTCATAAAAATTTAAAATCAAAACCGACTTCATTATTTCGAGAGAGTTGAGAAAAATTACATAGCAATTTTATAAAATGCATTTTAATGAAAATTCGAAACTTTTGGAATAATCTTCATTTCATCAGAATTCACTGATTTTTTTCTCCATAAATGTTTAAAAGTGTGTTAAAAGTTAAAACTGTTTTTAACATTTAAATAATATTCAAACTAAATTGCAACCACTTCCCTTAATGTTGAAAAACATCAAAAGAGGAAGAATTGTCAAATGTGTTGAGTTGCATATAAACAGTGATTGAATTGAACACGATCTAAACAGGTTTCCTTATGACAAAATAAATCGAAAAATAAAAGCTTTTAATACCATAATACAAGGTCCATGAAAATCTGTTATTGTCAATTTATAACATAACATGACAACTGTTTAAATAAAAGATCTCCTGGTCTGATAGACTTGAATAGAATTTTAAAATGTATATTCCCGCATGATCATATGAAGGCAGCTGGCTATAAAAGACGATCATTTATCAGTTGCACTTTAGCGTAAAAAAAAGGGTAAAAGGTCGGAGATAGAGATAATGTTAGAAAGCGATTATCTGTAGCCAAGAGAGTCCTGACCTTACCCAGTCTCACGTAAGCGCAAGCGTATGAGAATGAGAGGGAAAATATACTACAGGAACTTTATTCTCTTGTAAAAGAAAAATTATTCTTTCGTGTATACACCGTTTCATTTTATCATTTCCTCCATTCTTTTTTTTTCCTTTATTTCCATTCATTCTGATAAGGCACCAAATTTTATTCACTGATGAGAATAGATGCATTTTTTTCTCACCAGTTTATCTATCACTAGAGTGAAGTGTGCTGTAGTACATTTTTCATTCTCTTCCTTTGTTAATTTTTAACTCTTGTACTGACATTTTGTTATCGTTTATGTATCTCGGATACAAATTACTTCTGACTGTATACACAGCCATTATTCAATCGAATTATCATATCCATCAACATTGTCTATTTTAATATCTTCCTTACCCACGTGTAAAACGGAAGCTTATCGCAACTCATCAACAACAATCAATATTTCGACGTCAAAAATTGTTAACCCTCACTCGGTACCTTCAATTTTGACAATATATTTAGCTATGGAACTGTTGTAAATGGCAAATGTCATAATAGACCTTGATAAATTTATTTTTTACCGCAACTTGGTTATTAAAATTTCAAAAAAAAAGAGATTTTATTTTTATATGTAATTGTTTAAATAAATGAATAAATGTCCTGAAAGTATACGTTTTCCATGCGAGTATCTAATTATTATAAATATTAGAAAAGAAATAGAAATATCGTTAGAACAATACTGAAGTAAAGTATTCACTGATTATATTTTAAGATTAATCGGAATCTCATTCTAACGGATATTAAATGACAGATAAGTATTTTGAAATAAAATCACGACTTGTCCTTTTATCTCATGAATTCTCCAAAAATGATGATGAATTTTTTCTGTCGTATATAAACTAGCTTTTGGAGATTAATGAATGATTCATAAGTCTAAGGAAAGTGTGCTGAAATAAATGATAATTCGAAGAAAAATCGATGTCTGCCATAAAAGCACATATCTTTGTAAAACATGACGGAGGAATTTGAGAATGGCATCGAGATGATCCCGCGAATTTTCACACGAGTTTATCCCAGCAGTAGCAGCAGTAAGGGGTGGCTGCACTCTCCACCATCAATTCTCTTTACTCCCCTCGAATCCGCCTCCTCATCATCATCAAGAGCCCGCGCGTGCGTTCTCGAGCTCACGATCGAGTGATCCGATTCTTGTACATACTCATTTTTTCCTCCATCTCCCTTTCTCTGACTTGGTTTCTCGTTTTCACACCCCCGTAAGTGACTGAGGCGCGTGCGCGTACACTAAGGGAGAAAGATGAAGGAAGGGGGATGGTTTTCGCAAGTTCTTATTCTATCTTTTACTACAGTGAATATCATCTCTGTCATACCCTGGGACTCTCGACTGGGTCTCTGGCCGTACTATGCTACCCCTCTCGGTGGTACTCCACGGAGGGTCGAAGCCACTACTCCTTGAACAGGCGCATTGGGTAGCTTTGGGTGCAGCCGCCGGGTCTGAACGTGCTCCACCCGTCAGTTTAGTTACCGCACCACATAAGGCATTGCGTTGTAGACACCGTTATAACCCGCAATATTATTACCTTACTTATATTCATTAATTGATTAATTCATTCATTCGTTCGTTCTCGTACGTTGATCCTCCCTCCAACAAGCTAACAAGTTTAATATATATACATTTTACACATATATATATTTATTACATAATAGTTCGTGCGAGTAACATTACGTTCAACCACAAGTCTCGTTTTTTAATCGCGAGTTACACTTTTCCCAATCCCTAAATTCCCTAAAACGACACTCCTTTACTTATCGAGTAAAATAACTCAATCATTATTTTTCAATTATATTTATTCTGTTAATTTGTCTCTACGATCATACATCATATATTTCACAATCCACCTTTCAAAATTATTATTATTCTTCGTCTGATCATTATACTCGGGTTTGGACTTTTCTAAGTAGTCTTGCTGCTGATTGAAAATAATTATTCTCACGTTTTATATCCAGATACATTGATACATGACATAACCGCGTCTAAATGTATTTATCGTGACTGATAAATATTATTTCAAACAAACGGTGGTTACAAACAAGATAAAAAGTCTCAGCTGGAAGATCATTATTATTCAAACACTAGATGTTTGTGGTGATATTCGGACTTTGATACACTGATGATGTTTCTGATGAAATATTGATAGTTTTTCAATTATAATAAATTTTTTGCCAATTAATTTTCTAACGTGAGATGAGTTTAAAATATACATCTTAATACTCAAATAATATTAATTGTCCAAATAAAAGAAAATAAAATATATATATATATATATATATAATATAAAAACCCATCACTGAGTTTCGTTCTGCGCTATAGTCAGCATCCTCCAACCACTGATTTTCATCGTTAACCGGTATGTTCATTTTTTTCTTTACTTTGTGTTCAGTACTGCCTGATATAAATTTTATATTTATTACTTAATTATTCATTATTATTGATCGCTATTTTGTAATATTATTATAATAAGTTTAGTTTGTTCGTTTAATTATTATTAAATCCCACCAATTTTTGGGATTGTTTAAGCTTTTTCCATCCCATTTTCCTTTTTTTCCTTATTCTTATTAATTCCACGATTAAGTTGTTGGTACGCTCATGCTCAAAGGCTCAGATTGATTAAAAAATAAATAAAAACACAATCGGAATATTTTTTTTATTATTTTAAAAGTTTTATGGGTGACAACGGAAATGGATAAAAATCATTAATTATTTAATAGAAAAACAATTCTTGAGTTTAACGAGCCATAAATTTCTGTATTACACCTGGATGATTGTAATCCTTTCTGAAGGACACCTTGGCAAGTGGATGAGAAAAAAAAAATCGGTAATAAAAAAAAGTTGAATGATATTAAAAGTAAAGTAGACTATTATTTTTTATCTGATGATAAAAGTGCTCATTTCTCTTTTTTCTTATTCTCAATACCGCATAAATATCTTTAAAATCATTAAGTGAGGTCTTGCCTGGGTGTGGCTTCGAGCTGAGCGTACCGCGACGACGCCGACTCCGATGTCGACGAAGAAGCTTGCAAGCTTCTTTCTTTTTTGCTGTGTATAAAACTTCATAATTCTTTTTAAATAAACTCAAGCATATAATTTAAAAGAATATCTATAGAAAACATTCTTTAGACATCAACCCCCAAGTGTATTCATCAGGTGTATAAAGATGGCGCTGAACGAAGAAAATACTACTGGCAAGAGTGCTTTATATAAAAATCAATCGAAGAGTATAAAGCCAAACAAAAAAGAAACCAAAAGAAAAAGAAAAAAAGAAATGGAAAAAAAGTTTTCGCGACGCATCGGGGTCGGCAACCCCACATTTTCCATTCCCTATTCCCAAAGCATTGTCTCAAGGGACGTTGGGTATACCACGAGGGGTGCGAGATCATGGGCAGTCAAAAAAAAAAGAAGGAATCTGAAAATACTAACGTAAGTAATACCTCGCATAAACCCGCTTTGCTTTTTTAAGTATAAATTTTCAAGCATTATTATCAACATTTTCCTTATGCAAATGCCAATAATAAATTATATTTCCAAATCATCATCAAAAAATGATCATAATAACATTAATTTTTGCGATTGAATGTGCATAAATTATTGAGCAAAAAAAAAACTGTGCATGGAACCGATTTATCGAACAGGAGATGTGTATGAAATTGCATTGTTTTAAGGGGAGAAGTGATGGGGGTGAGAAGGGGATGATGAACGGAGGTTTTTTAAGAGGGAAAGAGAGATAGTGCGAGCATTGGGGAGCGGCAGACTCGCTTGCCGGTTATTGATCGCTTCTAGGTCCATGTGTCGCGCGTGCGTTTTTGCTCGAGGGTGAACTTGCGAGGGTGAGTCGAGGGGTGCAAGAGAAGGAGAAAGAGTAAGAGAGAGAGAGAGAGAGAAAACCAACTGGGGTTCATATACCCCCGGGTTAGCTGCAACGCCGACGTTCCTTCCAGCCGTACCACATCGACCAATCAATGGAGCCCCTCGGACACTCTCCGTCTCTCTTATTTTATTTCACTCTCTTTCTCCTTCTTTCACCACATTTCGTTCTTTTACATAATTCGTTTCTGCTGTTATGTCCACTACACCGGTAATAACGATGATTCATGTTGGATAAATTATTTTACCTTGTCATAGATTACCACCAATATCAACAATTGAATATTAATATTTCAAAGTATTTATATTCAAAAGTATAACTGAAAAAACCATTTTGTGCTGCACAAAAAAATGTTCATTTAATTGATAGAAAGAGTTTGGAATATTTACAATAAAATATTTTATTGAATTTCATTAAATGTACTTTGTTATTTGGTTCAAGATAAAATGCTATAAACCAACTATAGATTTCAACACACTCTGAAGTGATTTTTCAAATTTTTCTTCTCAGATTACGTATTTTTTATTTATTTTTTACATGTAAAAAATATTTAAAAATATTGAGGAAACTGGCATACAGAGAAAAGAAGACAAAGTTTGACAGTGTAAGTGCAGTAATGATTTTATAATAAATTATTATTTAGTGAATTTTGAGGTGTCATGGCGGACGTCTTTGTCATGGGCTTTCTACTAAAAAATAATTTATTATGCAATTTTTACTGCACTTACACTGTCAAACTTTGTCTTCTTTCCTGTATACTATTTTCCTCAACCCTTGTAAATATTTTTTTAAAAACATGTATTTTATCAATAAATTATTTTTTTATCATTTTAAATAATCATTAGGATTGAATTTTTAAAAATATTACCATGCCAACTCTAAAAAAAGATTTTATTGCGACTATTCAAAATTTTATTAGTCGCAAAAAATGTTGCTTTTTCACAATAAATTTTTTCCAGTATTTAATTGTTGAGATTTTAAAGAATTTTCTAATTTCGAATTGAAGGCAAGTTAAAATGGCACTGTTTATTATTCGGCTGAAAGTAAAATTATTCGGGAGGCTTAAAAAAGAGAGCAAGAATCAAAAAATACCATTCTTATACCAACTGCCACCATTGCATGATACAGTGGGCGTTGTGTAGCAGCATATGACGCTAAACTAAGGGGAAACTTTTGAATCGTTTCGTTTCTCATATTTAAACCATTTGGTGTCACTAATATTATGTCTTACCTTGAAAACCTATTGTGTAGTTTAGTCGGTTTTAAAAAAACGTTAGAGTATCTCGCAGATGTTACACGGTTATTTGTATTGCTATGATATGTTATGAAGACACTGTTATGTATGATTATTAAAAAGAAATTGGTCTAGAAGGTTATTTCTGACATGTTTGCTTGAAATAGCTTTCAATCGATTATTTCATTTGTTGTCAAAGATAATCGATAGACAAGGTATATTTTTTTTATAAAGTTTTCATAAGTAATACTTTGTATTTTATTGTAGAAGTAAGAGTATTTGTGAAAGTAAAACTGTTCTTTGTAATAACAATAGACGTTTTTGTCGATAATTTGTTGCTCTATATACACAGAATTCTCAGTAAAAGAGTTTCCGACTAGTTGTAAAGATGACAGTAAAGATAATACTGTTGGAAAATTGCCGAATCGATTAACTGTCGTCTTCATATCACTTTCTGCTTCCAATTTTGTCTTTTATTGCAGCTAGTCATCTATTAAACTAAATTCAATTGACACTTTTATTTTTTCATTTCAAACATTATCGATTATCGTTGTATGTACCCGTTTTTTTAGCTACAATTATTCCAGCATTCATCTTTTTATTTCAACATAAAACATACATATTTGGCTTCCAAAAGCATCACTTATACCTTTGTAAACGTTGCAACAGTCAGCTTGAAATAAATCTTTATTTCAATAGAACTTGGGAATATTAAATAAAGCTGGATTATTCAATTAGGTAAACTTTTTTAGTAGCTAATTAAATTCATAGTAACTCCATATAAATATATAATTTTGTAGTTTATCAATGATTCGTTGATGAACTGCTAGCTAACTGGATATCAATTGATAAAAAAAATTTATTTATTGTGATACAATGAAGGAAATGAAATTTATCTCAGCTTCCTGGTGGAATAAAAAATCATCTTGAATATCTTTTTCAGTTCTTTATCCATCGTAGGATGTTAAAATAAAATATATAATTCTCAAGCTTTGAATATAATTGGACCAAAAATAATGAATAGCAATTCAAGAGTTCAATTTAACTTACAGCTCTTTGATATTATCAGTCAAATTCATCAGTCAGACTAATTAAAATTTTATTTCTCATCAATTAGTCTTGATGATGAAAGCTTTTAATTGATATAGAAAACGTTGAAATTTTATATAACATCTCAAGCGTAAAAATCGTTGCTGGGAAATAGGTTCATGATAGAAACTGCTCTATACATTGGCTTTATAATACTTATATCCATGTCGAATGGATCTAAGTCATTTAGCAGAATATAATTCTCATGACCCCTGAGGTCATGTATTCTAAAAGGTAAATTCAATCCACCGGGACATTTAAAGTGTCTGCAAGCTGATATACAAGATGCAAGAAGCTCAATATTGTACAGAAAAAGCAGTAGAATTAGCAGCTGTAGCCAAATCCAGGGTTGCTCATTCGTCAGCCCCTCTTTGGCGTCGTCAGCTGAAGTGTACTTGGTATTATTCAGGCATTTACAGTAACTAACTAGCTTATGTACGTCGTCCATATTAATCCCTAACTGCTTTTTCTATCTAAATAAAAAGTGCCCATCATTCTGAGTAAATTTATATTAGCTTTCAACTAAGTAACATGACTGTTTACTCTGCCTTATTCTTATTTTATTTCCTAGACTAATCGATAGAGACATTTTTCACATGAATGATTTAATGTTCACTTGTTTACTGTAATATTTATTTTTTGTAAAACTTTTAGGATTTAGTCATTTTTCTTTACCTTTTGATTGATGAGATAAATATTTTCTAAACAAATACTCAGCCATAGTTCACCAATACAATAATAATTATGATCAAAATATTACGTTTCTAATAGAAAGAGTTGGTAATTTTTTTTAATAATAATTTCAATCATTCATTAATTGAAAGTTAAATTAATATTAAAAATTCTATTTATATACTAGTGATTAAATGAATGATATTTTAAATTGCTTTTATAATTAAAAATCGAGATTGAACACATGACAAAATAATTGAAAGTCTGTGCTGGAATTTTTGTTTTTCTTGTCAAATCAATGTCACTGATTTCTCTCATTGTTTCTAATCCCTTTTACTGGCACGTAGACTAAGCTAAGCCTATATGTCATCCTTCACCCGACCACGAACTCTTGTATATTTATAGTATTTATACGAGTATGTATTTATAATTTCACTTGGGATAGTTAGCAAAGCAGTAAAATACCACAACTCCAATTTCAAATTTTTTTCATTGTTATTTCTTTTATTAATACTCACACTTATGTTTATTCATTATCAATAAAAATTCCTTGATGTCTTAAATTTAAACTTGGATCATCTAGAGAAATAATTACGTAACAAAAAACAATCAAAACAAAATTTATATGACATTTGAAGTATATTGTATTACAAAGTTTGACTTCCTTTTGTTGGAGATGATTTAATGATAGAGAGGTGTAAGTGGGATTCTTGGAAGCAATGTTGGCTAGGTGTTGACCAAAATATTGGCTCTAGGGCCAAGTGTTGCTTGGATTTCTTTCATCAGACTCACGTAATTTTTCGATGTCATTGTTATTATTCATATATATGAAAATGTTATTTTCTATTTCCTTGTCTTTATCATTAGGTCGATGGCATTTATAGAGGAGGTCAGGGTAGATGCTTTAAATAAAAGCACTAAATGAACCTATCATAGACATTAGCAACTCTAGTTAAAGTTCACTGAAATATTAACATTCATAACATATATAAAATTTATTATCTGTGGAAATAAAGTAGCTAAGACTATTTGTGATAAATGAAATGAGAGTTTTAATACCTCAAGGATATTAAAGGACGTTTAAGTTTACACATCCAAGTGTAAACTTTAAAATTAATGCATCAATAGTTGATGGTATAACAAGTTATGCAAATTCCTAGAATAATACTCAGGGAAGTTATTATGTAGACAGCCCAAGTGAGAATACACTAACGATCGATAAAATTATATGATACTAGACTGCAGTGTAATGTCTGCTTCAAAGTTTCTCGTTGACCTTTCAAGGATTTTTAGTTCTATTGTTGTCACTCTCACTCTTATCTCGATTACATTTCTCATGAAGGAAATAATACAAATTCTTAGCGTCTCTAATTATTTGACATTGTTCTAATTTAATATTATCTCACTTGCAATTAATTATTGCTCTCTGCTACCTTTTATTTAAAATGGAGATAATATCAAAAAGCATCAATAAGTATGTAATTATTTTTATTAAATTCTTCCATTAGAATAAAATGATTTTTTTATCGGGTATTCTAAATTATAGAAAGGAATTTTTTC